AACAAAACAGGACAACTGATGTAAACTGAACTGTCAACTGATCCTGTGATGTTAAAAATATTTAATTCCCCATTTTTCTTCTCTACATTCCCACTAAAATTCCTTCTAGGAATAAACTAAAGCCTTTAGCAACTCATTTTCAAGTTTCATCTCTCAGTTTACTAACTGAGCATCTCGACCTCTATAAAATTATACCAATTGCTTGCTTGCAAGCGAGGGCATATGGCAAACTCACTGTTATATCTCTGGATAACACTGCATTTAACTCTTTTGTTATAAAATCAATTACTTCTGCTCATGTAGCTGAATAAGTAGAGAACCTAGATTTTGATCGGTAGTCCAGCAAAAAGAAACTTTCTTAAGAACAGATATATTTTTCAAACACAAACATACGTCTGCTAAAATCACATGGTATTAATAATATTCATCCTCTTTATGATGCTCCTGTAAAGAATAGCTGTCCACTAACAAGGTGTTTGAGGACTGTAGGTGTGGAAAATTTGAGCTGCCTCCATGAAAAATATAATTAAAGGCAGCTTAACCTAAGATGATTAAAGCCACCAAAGTTATTCATGTCCTGCAGTTCAGATGTCAGAGTAATATTGCTCACCTCAATGCAGCTTATTTGACATTACTTAAAAGAGAAATGAATGAGAAAAAAACTCTTGCGAACAAAGACCAGTAGCATTGGACTAGAAGATGTTTACAAGCTCATAAATGAGTTTGATGAAAAGTCCAATATTATTATAATAAAGTATTAATGATAGTTATCTGTTCTAAAGTGATTATAAACCCAGAATCTTAAGTCATTTAGTCAAAAGAAGCAAATCTATACATATTAAAAGAATTGTGATACAAGTCCCATAGAAGAAATTATTTCCAAGAAATACATTGCTTGTTTACAATAAATTGTCTTGGTAGAATAGTACTTGTTCTTTCAGCAGTTTAAAATCTATCACTTAGTTTATAAGACCACTACATACTCTGCGCTTTTATATTTTTTCAAGTACTAATGTAACTCTTTAGAAGCCATATCAGCAGCACTCACTTGTCAGAAAACAAGTATAAACTAACCTGCATGTTTTCACATGAACTTTCATCAAGAAAACCTATGCATTGACTTTATAAGGTACTTCTAAGCATTTCTGAGCAAAACCCTTCCTGTCTTAGGATCCATAGACAAAAGGAAAAAAAAATCTGTATGAACTAGTTCACATCACTTCCAAAGTGGCTTTCTTTCAGTCCAAGAATGTAGAATTCTCTCATGTACAGTATTATGTTTTAGGTAAGGACTTCTTTTTCATTTCTATTCTTCTATCATTTCTATTGAAACATTTTTTCAGATGTCAGTACAGAGGTTTTCAAGCTTTCTTACTACATTTTACATCATGTAAAATTTTCTCCCATGTATAAGTTTGTTTAAGACTGGATGTGGTGTTGTCTACATTTCAAATGTGAATTTTCTGTTGTTATTTAGTCAAACTTAGTTACTTTATAAAAATTGTATAAACTTCAGACATTTTAGGTTTCTTTTCATAACTCAATCACTGTCAATTACTTTTATTGTTCTTCCCTGAAGTTCATCTAGTTATCTTTTTTGGAATGGCATGTTGCACCTCAAATTGCACAGAGCTTTTTGCTGACATATCTTATTATAAACCAATGCCTAAACTAAAGCTGCTCTATCAGAATTACTTTTCACTGCTATGTTTCATTATCAGAGTAAATACTTCTATTAACTGCCTTTCAGAAGATACTCTTATAAAAATGAAGTATTCATACACTGAAAGAATTACTCAACTTCTGTCACACTTTTAATCAAACCGAATGTCCTCTCCAGGAGCCAGCTGTTCAATAAAGTTTACGTAATATAACACAGTATACAGCCTGAATATGTACTCCACAAAAAGAAATTAAGGTCCAGGAATCCTCTTTCACAGCCACAACAATAATGGAAAATACAAAAATACAGTATTACCTCTAATTAAAAGGAAATACAATTTTCCTCAAAACACCAGGAGGAGAAAACTTTCTGTATAGTTTTGAGTACCTGCTCTCTGACATTTTAGAATAACGATGTTTCAGAAAGATCATGTTAAAACCACAACTTGTGGGAAATGTTGTTACCTGCTTCTTAATGACACCTAAGAGATTTGCTCTTCTTTACAGTTTTTCAACAGCTTTTCAAGATCATTCAAATTCTTAAGGAATTGCATGCCAACCAAACTCAAAATTTACAATGTTTCCCAGATTTTTTTCTAAAAAAATTCTGTATGCTTATATAATTATAAAAGCAGTTACCATAAACATGACTCAACAAATTTTTACTTGCATCTCTTCACCTGTTCACAGAATCATAGAATGGCCCGGGTTGGAAGGCACCTCAAGGATCATGAATCTCCAACCCCCCTGCCACATGTAGGGCCACCAACCTCCCCATTTAATACCTGGCCAGGCTGCCCAGGGTCCCATCCAATCTGGCCTTGAACACCTCCAGGGACGGGGCATCCACAGCCTCTCTGGGCAGCTGTTCCAGCACCTCACCACTCTCTCTGTAAAGAACTTCCCCCTGACATCCAACCTAAATCTTCCCCCCCTCAAAACCATTTCCCCTTGTCCTGCCGTGATCTACCCTTTCAGAGTTGATAAGGGTAGATAACCTCTTGCTTTTGATACACCTTCATTATAATCCACTTTGTGAAACAAATAAGTGGTGAGTAGTGGGTATACATGAAAGTAAACATTGTTCCATTGTGTTCTCTCTCTCCCTCTCTCCCCCTTTTTTTTTTTTTTTTTTTTTTTTTTTTTACAATGCACAATTTGCCACCTCTTTTGGGTAGGTGTTCAAGACAGCTGGATAATAAAGACTCTGTCAACATCAACTTGGAACAGATTGTTTCCGATGATTTATGAGCTGGAAAATCACTTCAGAATTCATTACCAATTCCCTAAAGCAGTCATCTCCTCAATTTTTTATGTATTAAGTGTAAACAAATCCATCTGATACATTTTGTATTCTAAATGGACACATTGTTGGGTTTTTCAATTCAAGGACACAATGAATTAAAAGGAATTTAATTAGTGTGATGTTAGAATAAGAATAGTATGAAGTAGAATTTGAATATATCACAGTTGGAAAAAATAATTTGTAAGCTCCTCTTTAAATATGAAACCGTGTCTGCTGTTATTTGTGATGACTTAGTTTTTAATAAAATAGATTAACAAATGGATTCAGTACTTTCTTTTACAGGTCATGTTTGGTACACAGAGAGATATGTTTTTATCTAAGCCTGCATAATGACGTATAGCCAAGTCCAAAAAATAATTATCAGCCACTATTTATTTTGATATTTATTATTTTGTTTCTGTACTCCTCAAAGAAGGGTAAGTTGCAATTCAAACTCCCCACAACCATTTTCCTGTCAATTCAGAAGAAACCAATTTCTGCCACTCTAAAATGACAATGCTGTCTTGTCACATAGCTCTTTCTCTCCATCCTTACCTTTTTATCTGCAAGAACTAATATTGCTGCTCTTGCAAGGTAAGCAATCCCAATATTTTGATTACTTTCAAGCCATTCACCTCAGTTTAAATCATCCAAAAGAAAAGAAAAGGAAAAAAAAAAAAAAGTTCAAGCACTGAATAACTCTATACTCTGACTTCTGTCCTTCAGCCTCATCACTTCTGTTAAAAACAGTCAGTTATTTGTGAACAGGTTCATATCTAAAAAAAAAAAAAAAAAAACCACCTCTGTCCCTCTGTCATGCACAGAACCAACCAAATACATCAAAAGTGGCAATCCATGCATTCAGATGTTGGCAAAACCTTTCCAACATTTTTAAATGGCCGTGGTACTGGAAAGACTTTAGTGCTTTACCCACCACTTTAAATTTCTCGCCAGTATACATTTTAAATACAAAGACATACACAGCCTCTCCTTGTTCTGTCTTCTGATGGTGTGCAGGCACGGATCACTTCCTCCGTGATATTTGTGTGTGTGTATATTTAAATCTGTAAGATATTTGCAGAGCTACTCTCAAAGAGTAATTTCCCACAAAACATGAAAAGACCCAAAGACAGTTACATTTCGCACAGAAGTGAACAGGAGAAAAAAGGACAAGATAATTACATCTTATGACCAAGAGGACCACTGGGGCAGGGTTTGTAACCTGAAACGTCTAAAGATTGCTGTAGCTTGCAAACAATTTGCAAATAACTTGTCCAAAAAAGCACATTAGGTTCCCATCAACAGCTGCCCAGGGAGAAGTGAACAAAAACCAATTTTATTAAGAAGCTACAAAAAGATGATAAGGAGATAATCACACCAAAATCTTATAACTCTTAACTACCCAAGCCATCACTCATGATTTGTGCTATACTACAAGAGAATTCAGAGGGAACAAATTAATGCATCATTGTAATTGCCTTACCCAGTTTCAGGTTATGCATTAGTCTTTAAGGTATAGACAAACATTTAACACATTACAAAGACTCATTTCTGGAGCCATTTAAGAGTTAGTGACTTCTAGGAAATCTCAAGTTAAAAGTCTCAAAAGTGGCAACGTTCATTATTCTCAGATGGCAAAAGTCTGAGTTCTTGACCTTTCCTCCTAATTGAGAAGAACCACTAGTAGTCCCTTTAATAGCTCAGAACTTTTAATAACTTATTAAGAAAACATGAGCCAAGAATTTGGGTAGGTGTACAACCATCACATGTGGTCATCAGAAAAGAAGATTTACGATCAATGTTAGAAAAGGCTTGTTAACTTCTGTCAGTGCCACAGACACAGTGCTGGTGTCAGAAATGATTCGGAATGAAGCCACTTCCAGTTTTACTTAGGATATTATGTTGCATCAGGTTTCTCTCCTAATTGGCAGATACTTTGTGAACAGGAGACATTTCCTTTTTCTTCCAACTTAACTCATTACTGCCAATGCACAAGAAGGGGCAAGAGAAAAAATGTTGTATGTTCCACAATGTTGTATGCAGTAGTACTTACCAAGAGTACAGAATGGTTCCCACTACTGATGCAAGTTTGCTGTTTTCTTCATTTTGCTTTGCAAGACCAAAATCAGCTACAAAAAAAAAAAAAAAAAAAAAAAATTAAAAAAGGAAGCAAAAGAAAATTTTCACACATCAAGGGGAGATTATTAGTTGATTTTTTTTTCTTCCATTCATCTTTTACATTTCACAGTATTGCACTGGACTGTTTACCTGTTTCCACACAACACCTACTTGGCTCAGGCCAAAATGCCACTATTTCTGATTTTAAGCAACACCTGAAATATCTCAGGTTCATGTGAACTACATTCATTGCAATTTATTTTGCCATCCTAATACAATATGACACTTTGTAAGCTACGGAGATTGGTAGGTACATCAATCTAGCTGCTAAGTTTCATAAAATAATTTTGTTTCAGTAACAGTTTTTAGTGCTCTGTTTAGTAGGCAATGTGAAATAATATGATTTCTTTACCACTAATTTCTCTTATGCCTGGAAGTTTGGCATTTTTCATTGAAAATGGAGACTATTTTTAAGTATTTGCAAAGACAATAGAAAACTTACAAACTTTTACTGTTAGATAAATCTTAAATTATGATTAAACATACAATTTCACCAGAAATTAAACACATATAGAGTCATTTCTGTATTATTATATTTGACTAGGTTTTCATTCTGATTGTAAAACTTAAGTCTAATGGTGACTTTTTTTCCCTGTATTTGCATGTATATCAGGAATCAAGAAAACCAAGTGTGATTTTATTTCTTTTTTTTTAAGTCATAGGAAATAGACAACCATGCTAGAGAGTCTTCAAGTGGGAAGAAAAATAAACACAAAATTATGCAGTGACAATCTGATTCTGAAACACTCTTCTGTAGTTGTTTTCACACATTTACATTGTCTTTAGGGTAGCAGAATGAAACTTAGAAAGACAAATGAATTTCTTTTCTATTTGTACACTGATCTATCCTTACATTACTAGAAATAATAATAAGTTATCCAAGCTCCATATCCTAAAAATACAGTATTTGTTTTTCATCTTCTCTTACTTCTTTCTTCAACAGCCTGAGATGTTAGGCTGCTCATTTTAATAACACAAAATATATACTGAAGTACTTACTTACTGAAGATCAGAAGTGATCTTCATAATTATGGATATTTGCCCTTAAAATTTTTACTTATCAAGCACTGTGTTTGCTAGCAGAAATAACGTCATTATTTACAACAGTACTAATCACATGGGTACATCTTGTGCTTAACAGGAATTATTGGCAAAAGTGAAACCAATAAGTAGCCAGATAAACTGGCTTTATGTTTAAGTTACCATGCTACAGAGATCTGTAACATAAAGACAGAACTTTATTTTCCATAAAAGCACGTCCTACAGTCAAGGTAAATTTAATCAACAGTAGTACATACTTATTCTACTCTTCCCCATCAATGGAATGGGAAAAGAAATCATTTCTCAGCATTCCCAAAACCACCTTCCTGGCTATTCACCTTTCTGTGTGGTAATGTCAATGCTTCATAATCTCAGTGCTTCATAATTTTGTAACTTCTGCAGTAAGAACACTAGCATTGCTCCCCACATAGTAATGGGACTTGTGGAGAGCAATGTGTTTGTGCTGTTAATGCAACCAGTAAGTGCCATTTAGAACATTTGATTTATAGTGTGAATGTAAACAAGCTGATAATTTCACTGAAGTTATGAAGGAAGCTTTGAAAACTAAGTACTAGAAGCACTTCCTTGAATCATGGCATGAAGAGTAGTAATTCTGTTAATGAAGACAGGTTAAATGAGTCATGTAATTACAGAAATATTTAGCGTTGTTTTAAGCACTTCCACAGAGTAGAGACAAACACAAAAGACTCTAGTTGTATCACTTTACTTCTTGGATACTGCCTTTATGGCACAGAATCGGGAAGCGATAGGTCTTTTAAAAATTGCACTCAACAACCAAGCATTCTGAAGTAGTTAACAGGAAGCTTTCTTCCCACAGCTGGCATTAGTGGAACTCCTGAAGTTTCAATTGTTCTGACACAACCTGGCTGCATGCTAGAACTAGCACATCAGACAGATGATTTATCTCAAACCTGGTATTCCACTGCTATATTAATAATAATAGTTTCAAACAGCTTCATAAAGATCCTTTCTACAAAGCAAAAAAAGCATGCAACTCCAAAGAGCATACAAAACCCTTCACAAATTTGGTAGATAACAGATCTGAAAGGAGTGAAAGTGATTCCATACAGACCCCTTGGACCACCAAGATCCAAACCTAACTGAAAGTAAATGCTACTGAAGAAAAGAGTGGTCTTTTGTTTTGTCCTACAGACACAGCTAGGGAGCTCTAAACAGAAATATGCTGTGCTAGAAACAAAATATTGCTGCAGTAATATAGCTGCAGTAAAAACAGATACACATTTTAAATTCAGAAATCTCTAGCTTCTAAATTAATAGAGAAAGCACAGCAAACTGAACTGAGAGCCACAGTAAATAAGGGTTCAAAACATGTACAATACAACTTTTGTTTGGGTTGCATCTGAAATTTTTCTGGATATGTTGTTGCATCTTTTTAAATGAAAACCTATAAATCACATATTCAACCTGATCAGAGGAATACAATTTCAGCATTACTTTTCTACCTATTTAGAATGAGATGTTTTATGAAATTACAAGTTAGTATGAGGGCTGTTCCAAGTAATTCCTCATATTAAATTGAGTTGGCCCACAATGTTAGAGGCAGATGTTGGTGGTATGGCAGTAGAGGTTGAACTTTCTATCAGTATTTCATTACATGCTGTTGTCATGTGACAGATGGCAGTAGAGGGACAGTCTGACAGAATGTAACATGACATAGAAGTACAAATGAAGCAAAGGTGTGTCACTGAATTTCTCCATGCAGAAAAAAATTGCACTGACAGTCATTGATGATTGCTGAAGGTGAATATGACCAAATGGTGGACATGAGCACAGCGATGTGGTGAGTGGTGCACTTCAGCAATGATGCCATCATAGCAACTGTGAAACAGCAGGTCATCTCCACTGGTGCAGATTTTCATGAGCACAGCACACAGGCTCTTGTTCATCGCTGGTAAAAATGCATGGCTAATGGTGGTGACTGTTGAAAAACAGTATTCTGTAGCTGAGAATTTTCTCTATCAAATAGTGTTATTGTGCTCTTCATATCTGTTGTAGTTTCTGTGGTAATAAATAGTAGGCACTACTTTCAGAGTGACATATCTACATGTTAACATTTATATTTTTGTGGTATTTGTAGGTCAGTTAATTATATTTAAATGTTGCACCAACATACAGAAGAAAACCTGTCTTTTCTTGGTGAGAAACCTGTTGCAGTGACACTCAAAGACTATCTCTAGAAAAGTCTCCTCAGAGCTTAATCTTACATAGTGCAAGAGCAGCCAGTGTGATCTCTGTGTAAGATCTAGCATTCAGATTCCTCTCACTGTAGATCCCTGCCCACCAATTCTGGAATGTTGTACAAGAACCTCCCCTATGCAACAGTTTCTCTGTGATTTTTAAGACACACAAGCATAAATCTTCAGCAGTTTTTTTCTTTGTATGTGCTAATAGCAAGGTAGAAACATCTCCAACACTATGCAGTTCTTTCCTTTGCAACCAAAATAAACTCAGAATCCGTATAAGACACCTTCATAGAATTTGGAACATGTGTCTCAGATCTCACATATGTTAAAAAAAAACACGTATCTGTGTGTGCCACTACTTTTTTAAAACCTTTTGTGTTGGGGTTGTTGCATAGCCATGCACAGTATGGAATGAAAATCTCTGTGGATAGCAGCACTTTGCTTTAGTTTAATACTTACTTTATTTTTTCTTATACTTTTGATGTCTTTAATCAAAGTCTAGCATGGGTGTCCAAAGCTAAGGCTAAACTACGATACTGTTAAAAACAAAACAATGTATCTGAGGAATTTTAGTTAGAAAGGAATAAGGCCTTTGTCAGCCTTGTGATACTCAAAGCAGAAGATTAATAAGTGATGTTATTTCCAGAAAGACTTACTGAGGAGGATGAAAAAACAGCAGCACTGTGAGATACACAAGCTTATTTTATGAAGCAAAATAATTTGGACCGTCATGAACTGTATCGTAATTACAAAGTCAGGTATTACTCTAGAAAGATCAATGCAAATTTGGGACAGATTTAAGATCTGAAATAGTCCAGAAAAACAAACTCATTTTTTAGGATGACTGTGCAGCTACTACAGTTCTGAGCAGATCTGTGGAGAAAATCCTCTTATTTTATAAAAACTGATAGGTTGAATTCACTGCAGAGGCAGACTTAACATTTTGCAATATTTGAGCACATGCTTCCATCTTTGTTTGACAGTTGTATCACTTTCATCTGGAGGCACTTGAAATCATTAGTAATCATGGATAATGTACACAAACACAATACATAAATGCCCCAGTCTTTGGACTTTATGTGTTATATGTAATACAGCAACATACTGTATATATTTGCTATTAGTGGAAAGGAAATTTCTTATTTTCATTATGGCAGTAAAGCAAGAAGTACCAGTAAGTAACAGAAAGTGCCAGAAGAAACAGATAAAAGGATTTCAGCTCCCACTGAAAATTCAATAAAAACTGTTACTAATTAAAGTATGAAATAAAATGGTTATTTAAATATTGCATAATAGTTTTGAACCAATCACTGTAGAAAGTAAGTTTCAGTTTTTCCCCTTTTTACAATATCTGTAAATCTTTTCTAGCTGTATAGTTTTTCAAAGTTAATTTTGGGCTTAAATTTAAAAATATATTTATGCTTTTATATATTTTGTTCAGGCTAGACCATGGCAAAGGTGTTAAACTAATACAAGAGTGCCCCTCAGTGGCAGTGTCTTGGTATAAGATACAACGACATAGTATTTTAATATAATATTTTGATTATTTATATTTATCATTCAGGGAGAAATGTTGCATTAAATTACCTTATTTCAAAGCTATAAGATTCAGAGCTTTGAAGCAATACAAATTAATCACGAATGAATTTAAATATGTAACTCATCAGGTATAAATACTACAAAATAACAGCTGCTAAATAGATCTGCTTATTATAGATCATTAATCATAGTTTTGTGGTTGTGCATGCATAGATCTACTGCTCTCCATTATTTTAAAGGAGATAAATTAATTTTTGCATCAAGAATTCTCGTAACAACTCTGCAAAATTCAAATTGTTTACTTGGTTCTGTGTCATGAGCATTAAAAAATCATGCAGGAATTCTTTGAGAACATTAAAATCTACAGTATCTCAATCATCTGTCATTCTGGATGTAAATTCCTAGTTATATTAATTCATTCAAAGAGTAAAATTTTGACATACAGCAGAGCACTGCTCACACACCTACAGCTTTCAAATCCTACACATCTCTGAGTCACTTTCTCCACAGCACAGAGATTATAGAAATACTCAAGAATATTCATTACTATAGCCTCAGAAATAGAATCTCACTGCAGCTGATCACAGAACAATTGATGGATACTAACAGTCGTATGGTGAGAGTGGAATAGAACAGATGGTCATTTTACTCTGCATGCTCATTAGCACTGGCTATATAATCTAGTTATCTTGACATATATAACTATTAGGTTGGGGTTTTTTTTTAGAACTAAATCATCTCCTTGGTCATATTTGATATCACAGCTGCAAAAAAACATGGCTGATAACATCTAGAGGCAATGATCACATGATCACAAAAGCTGTGTATAATAATAGAAATAATAGAAATAGAAATAATAGTAAATATTTCACAAAACAGTATTATAACACTATAATTTACTAGCTTCCAACTATGGTGGCCAGTGCCTCAGAATCTGAAACCTTCTGTTAGTTTCAGTAAAGAAATTCTACTCACTTTCATCAAGGGAAATTCTCTTGAAGTAAAGCAGTTCTACTTACTAATTTTAACTTTGTCTTTATCCCCCAGCATGATGTTGTTTGGAGTGAGATCTCGATGAACAATCCTCTTCTCTTTATGTAAATAACGAAGAGCTAGGCAAAGCTTACAAAGAAACAAAAAGAGCCTTAAACAAAGATTCATAATGACAATCTAAGTGAAATCACATCAAATTACATTAATATCAGGTATTAGTGTTTGATATAAGCATTATTTTTTTTTATTATTAGCCTAACAAACAAATGGAATTAGTAACCACAGGTAGACATGTCCTGGTGAAAAAAAAATGTGTGCCTCTTACTTACTTGGATAAATATATTCCATATTCTTTCTTCTGTAAATTTTTGTTGCTTTTCCTTCAAAGAGTGAAAGTGCTCTCCCAATGGCACCCCATCTATGAGTTCCATGACTATGTACAGTCTGTCATCTACGCGAAAGAAACTTCAATTAAAAAATACATTTATACAGAAGGCATTTGTTAATGGAGTATTTGAGGCTAAAATATATTTTTAAAGCTGTCTTTTTTGATTTTTAAGTTTTTTTTGTACATTATAGTTCTATTCCATGTTTTTCCAATTTTTCATAAAATCACAGAATGATTAAGGTTGGAAAATGCCTCTGAAATCATAATCTGACCGTCAACCTATCCCCACCAACCATGTGCCACATCTACACATTTCTCAAAAACCTTCAGGGATGGTAGCTCTGTCACCTCCCTGGCAGCCTGTTCCAATGCCTCACCATCCCTTCAGAGAAGTCATTTTTCTAGCTCCAGCACTAGCAGAGCTCTGAGTGCAGTCCCTCTCTCCTGCACTGCACTGCAAGAACTGAAGCATTTATATCACAGTAAATATAAGGAACTTCATGCTTGTTAATCACTCAGTAATAATCACCCAGTGGGCAGGTGTAGGTAGACAACTCCTTAGAAAGAAAAAGGAGACAATATGGCTAAGCCATGCTACTATTCATTCCACTAGTCACCAAACCTTTTCACCCTACTTAATATTCCAACTGTAAATTTGGGATCTTTAGCTCTAGGATAGACGCTTTCTACATGTTCACTCTTTCGTTTGACTAATAGATAAACATAATTATTATGTCTCATCCTTTTTCAATTTTAAAGAACTATAAGCCTGTCCAAAGTGTAGAATCACAGAATCACAGAGCTATAGCGACTGGAAGGGACCTTACTGCTCAAATTTGATACACTCCTTCCAAAAGGTAAGTACTCCTATTGTATATTTCTACTTCTTCATCATGTACAATATAGTAATTATTTACATTTATACTTACTTTCCAAGAAGGTTCTGTAATAACGTACAACATTTGGGTGATAAAGCTACAAATGAGGAAAGAAATTCAGTTGTTTAGAATAGTTAGACTGATGGAATGGCATTTATAATGCTTAACTACATAATGGAAGAAAGAATCCCACAAGGATTCCAAAAACTTGCTTACAAACTGCAGTGCAGCAGACATTCACAGCCATCCCCAAACATGTTTTTGTAAAAAATAATAATTATAATTATAACTTTTATTATATATATATATATATAATTTTATATATTATATTATACATGTACTATATTATACATATATATATAATAAATATAATACTATATATATAAAATAAAGTTTATATGTATGTATGTATGTATGTATGTATGTATGTATGTATGTATAATTACTCAAGATTCATACCAACACTCTTGTTAGCAACTGGAACAGTAAAGGAAGTTTAAAGGCAATTACACCTGCACCAAAGTATTTTCTTTCATAGTTAAAAAACATTAATGATTTGTCTATATTGTTGTGAGTTTCTTTTAATATTTATTTACAATTACAGAAAACAGCTATCTTTTAAATCCAAAATATTGTTTACAGTATTCCTGATAAAATTTCATGCGCTTCCAACAACAGAAGAATTATTTGTATCAAACATCTTGCACTTCTAATAGTGCAGAAAGAATTTTTGAAATATTGACAACATTTAGGTAAAAAGTAGCAACATTGTACTGAACAGATGAAAACAGTAACAGTAGGTGGAGGCCCATCTGCAAGAGAAGGATAATGTCAACAGAATGCCAGTACAAGAATCTAGAGTCCGTGAAACCCACCTGCTCTTTGATGATGGTTAACTCAGAGACAATGTTCTGCACTCTGCTATCTCTGTCTTTTTTGTCCTTTCCTAATGCTGGATTGTGTAAATTGACTTCTTTCATTGCCAGAAGATTTTGCCCATTATGTTTTCTAACCTACAAAAAAGATAACACCTTTGTAAAGTTGGTACAGGATGGGAACAGATAGGATATTATTATAGCTATCATATCAGTTATCTGAGTGCAAAACCATCTCACAAATATTGCAATCATAGTCTTTTCTGTATATAATGCAATTAGTCAAAAGAACTGGAGCACTCAAAAGAGCTTTACAATGCAGGTTAGGAGTAAACTGGTGAACTTGTCATCATGTCTAAAGAAATGCTACCAGCACCAAATGTTTTTTTCTGAAATAAAACATGCTTGAACTCAGTTTCAGACACGGCAGAAGACAGACACAGTCTTTGTAGTGAGAAATCAATACAAAGTAAAACTAGTAAATCTAGGAAATATACCGATCAATCCTATAAATACAAGAGGGACAAACATGATCACAGCAAACACTAAAAAAAAATGGACATCTGTTAACAACAAGCTCTGCCTTCTGGAAACTACGCTCTCCTACTGAAATTCAAAGGAAATTTATGCTTAAAACAGGTATCAGACCCTCACCATGAAGGCTCCTCTCCAACCTCTACACTAGAACCAAAAGAGAAGCTTACCTTATATACATTTCCAAAAGCTCCACTGCCAAGGTGTTCTAAAATTGCATAATTGCCTATATGTTTTGCAGGTGCTTTATTCTGGTTGACGCTCTCAATACTTTCAGCAATTTGCTTCAATTCATCTTCCTGATTATACATTAAATGACAAACACATAAGCATAAAATATTTCAAGTCTTTCTTGTGCTAAGAATATGCAAAGAATACAGTTTCTTAAAGCTACAAAGCTCTTTACTTACCTTTAATAAATTCAGTTTTGACACCAGCTCTTCATAAGCACTAATATCACGCACATAATGTCCAATATCAATGAAGATTTCAAACAAGTCAGGAGGAAAAAGTCTACAAAAATTTAACATTTTTATGTGTCTCAGAAAATGTTCACAATAGCTATTAATCTACAGCAAGTGTTTTTTATTACTTCCTACTTCGAAATCTTCTAAATAACACACTTATTCCTGAATGATGTATTCAGATATTAACTATTTTAACACAACACACATGTATACGAACTGAAGAATCTTTCAAAAGCTAGACTTCAGCCTCCATGGATTGGATATTGCTATAAATGCCAGTTCTCTGAACACTATAAGCCTCAATGAACTTTCCAAACTTCCATTTGCTTTTGTATTTTTTTCTTGTAGTATTTTACACTATGCTCATAGCTGACTTATCTGAGCTCCTTCTACCTTTGATAGGTTTAAAATTTTTTTTCATTTAAAGAATCACAATATGCATCTTAGAATTTTTGTCCCAGCAAATCTAGTCTAAAATATGAAAAGAAAGGTGTGTAAGCTAGAAGATACAACACAGTATTTTGATTACTGATATGCTTAACTGGAGATCAGTTTCTTTTTAATGTTCTGACAGAAGTGAAAATATGGAAAAGTCATTTGGGGTTGGAAAAAAAACAAACCATAAATAAGCAGACAGATTTATCACTTTAAAAACTTGACACCAACCATCAATACTGATTGCAAACTGAGGTCCTTTTTCAGTACAAAATCTTTTTTTTTTTTAAAGTAAAAATGAGATACATGTTTTATTTAGAATTCGAGGAATATATAATATAGAATAAAATCATTCAAAAACACTGCTGCCAGGTAATTGTCATTAGCAGTTTAAGTACTTCCCTAATCCCAAAAGATTTTACACAGCCTTTGTAATCTACCTGGTGAAACTGTCAGCTAATTTGAAAAAACGGCTAATTGATGAAATTATTTTCCACTTATTGATCCAAGTCTTTTTTTAACACTCTTAAGTAAACTGTCTTGATGCAAAATCCTTCCCACGTGAAAGACTGGAGGGTTGAGCAGCAAAAAAATATAATTTTGCCAGTTGTTACTATCCAGGGCTGTTGATTATATCTGATAATCTTCAGATGGAAGTATGGTTTATCTCTAACAGTTTTAAATGTCGTCTTCATATTTTAAACCTTGCTTCACAAGGGAAGAAAGAGGCCCTACAGAGCTAGGTTCTCTGGCATGCATAGCAATAGAAGTCCCCACAATGAATGTGTACATCTTGTAGGCTGGCACTAATACAAAGCAGCAAAATCTATCTGTGTCTGCAGACTGGACAGAAGTTGCCTGCAACTTATTATTTTTGCTGAAAATAACTGGCATTTAAAAACATTCTGATTGCAATGATACCTTCTGAAAGCTATTGTAAAGGAGTTTCACAAAACATTTTATTAGTTTACCTTCTGAAGATATGTCTATTTCTTTCCATACTGAAGAGAAATCTCAGGGCTCTGAAAGCATAGCACTACAGTAGGAAAAGCTAAAATTAATGACAAATCTATATATAAATAAAAAAGACAATGATAAACATCAGGGATTCCCAACAGATCAATAACCTCTTTCCTTAAATTTCTAGGTAGATTACATTGTTAGCATGATAATGAAAAGAGTAAAAACAGTTTCTTAAGTACATTCAATTCTTTAAAAGTAGGCAAGATTATTTAGGGGGAACAAAAAAAAAAAAAATGGAGAAAAGTTTCTAAATTATCTCTACTGAAGAAAGTTTGTTTGTAAAACATCCACTGACAGGCAGTTAATACATACACTTTTATATAATGCATCTTGAATTCTCCGCATCAAGAATCATTTACTTTACTTGCTATACAATATGGCTGACTAAAGAAAGATGACTGTGAAGTAAATCAAATAGAAATAAGGTATTGGCATCTGAAACAGTGGAAGTAAGGAAATGCCCTCTAACTGAGAATTAATCTCTTTCAAAAACAAGAATCATTCTACACTTAGTTGCTATTTATTTATTCTACATTTAAATTTGCTCTATTTTATGTGAAGTTTTCCTGTATTTAACAGCTCCAGTAGGGTGCTCCAGAAAGAAGCAGATATTAGTACAACATCAAGACCTCACTGAACACCAATGAAGACCAAAGCACACAAGAAAAGGATCTAATGCTGAGAAGCATGAAGAAGTAGGGGAGAGATTATCAAAGGAAAAATATTCATTTCCCTTCACACTATATAAAGTGCAAGAAACAAAGTAGATCAGAATAAAGTACCATAAACTGAATTACAATTGAGTTTTTACTTCTTGGACTACTTGTTATTACTGATTTTGCCCTATTTTCTCTACAAGCAAGACGTCTACTGCATTCTAGAATAAACTTTTAAGCAACAACAAAATAATAAAAAAATCTCAGGGACTGTTTTGGAATTTCAACATGTAGTTATACTAAAAGAAGTTACCTGTAATAAATAAGCCTTTTCAGCATTCTTTTCTTTGTCTGGTAAAACCAGTTTTGCTATTATATATACTCCATTTGCCTGGAAACAGAGAAAGGTCAACATCAATAGCATTCCTTCGCACAGAGACCATGAATAAAAAACATTTTTTCTTCAGATAAATCAGAACCTAATACTGACTTGCAAAATCTCAGCCTCCTAGTCCATACTGGATTTACAACCTGAAATAACTTAAATGAAGTTTACTTCATTTCTTACTTATGTAAGAATGAAACTGCCCTAACACTTAAACAGACACTACAAAACAGCTTACAAACGTACAGTGAAGCAGTATCATAAGCTGGAGAGACACCGGACAAGATAGCTTGAGTGAGTCTCCAGTAGGATTCACAAGAGTCGCAATGTTTTCAAAGTGTAGCGACTTTAAATAAGAGAGATTTTTATTTTGATGAAACCAGACTAGCCTAAAACACATGAAGCTTTAAAGTTAATGGAATTTTATGGCTTAATAACAATTTTAATGCTTTAAATATATAAATAATTTTTTCTAGACTTACTTCCATTTCATTCTGCCTTAACAATATTTTTGACATATACCTAAAATATTCAAGACTCCCTGTTCTCTCATTTCCTTTAGGAATATCTCTATCTGGATTTTAAGCTAATATGTAGGTGATGGATTATAGCTGGAATTACTGTTCTAAATATTTTTGTCTTTGGCAACGCATGCAATACATACCAGAGATTTAAAGAACGATTTTCAGAAGCCTGAACTGATTAAAATGTTACATTTTAAAATGCTGTTCAGAAGCACCCCCCTGGGGATGGAGAGCCAGGAAGTCTGGTGTTTTCAGAAACACCAGACTCTGAGGAAAATGGAAATTTTTCTGTGAAAGAACACAACACTCAGCTGCACAGCTGGGAACTAAGAGTTTGTATTTCTCAGATAATTCCATGATGACACTTACTGGTCTACAGCAAAATTGCAGCAAAATCATGTCAGGAGATGTCAACCAAAATAATCCATAACAAAAGTTATCTATTATTATTCTAAACATCTAGATACATATGTTGATATCTTTGTGTATATTTGTGTGTTAATAAATGTATGAAAAAATATACTATTATAGAAAAATGTATATGAAAGTTATATAAAGCAATATTGTCCAATCACATTAAAATATATTCTGCTTGTTAATTAAATTAAATCCTAAACTATAATGTCTTACTTAACTGAATAAAGTCTTCCTACCTGTACTACTTGGTAAGCGTTAGTATCATTGAGCACCAGTTCAGTAATTGCAGCACAACAAGCTAGAACAAAAATTCAGATGTAATATTTAGGGCCAGATTCATAAAGATATTCAGATGGCATAGCAGGTAAGGGCCAAGTGCTCATCCTACCGCTCATTCTCTCCTCCTTCTCAACAGAAGAGAGAGAGAAAGTAGGACAGAAAAGCTCATGGGTGAAGATACTGGGAAATTGCTTACCGGTTATTATCACATCATCACAAGCAAAATAGAATCAATTATTTGGAGAAAATTAATTTAATGACTCACCAGTTAGATTTAGATAGGGAGAAACAGAGATTATAAAAAAAAAAAAAACACTTTCACCCTATTTCATCCTTTTTTTCCCAGAATCATCTTCATGCCCAGCTCTTCTAACACTGCATTCCTCAAGAAGCAGAGGGTGGATGATACATGAGGGTTTCAGTCAGTAATCAGTTCCTCACTTCTCTTCTTCAAATATCACTCTGAAATTGTTCCGCTATAATCAATTCATTACCAACATACTACAGTAATTTTCAACAGAGGGAGCAATATGAAGAAATAAAATGAATCTCAAGCTTAAAACAAATAAATAAAAAAATAAGAGATGTTTATGAACATATATATAAACATATATGACTTCTGTGTGCTTGATATTATACCCTTTGTTCCTTTCTTAAAAAAAAAACAAAAGCAGTGTTTAAAAATATGTGCTGATATTGCACACTTAGAAAAAAACAGAGCTGATGTGGTGCTGCTGTGTCAGGTGGGAGTACAAATACTAGCAGGTATAAATGTTTATAATTTCAATTTTGAAACAGTTTGAAACCCTTTGCACAAGGTGTAAGTGAACACAGAAGAGAGAACTATGCCTTGTAAACCAACCTGCTTGAAGGGAGAAAGTATTTTCTTGTATCTCATCAAGACTCAAATCGTCTGACAAATGAAGATGTTGAATTCTCCCTGCTGCATTTGCACTAGATAAACTTCCAACTGAAGAGCGATCAGAAACGAGATTTCTATCCCTGAAAAAAATAATTTAAAAAAAAAAATTAAAATTAAAAACATGAAAAACACTGTAAGAGACCAATAAAATATGCATAGCTTAAAAAAAAATCCAGATTTTTCATTATATTTAAAATTGCTTTTTTATTTCTATAGACATCAGACACAACTGAGCAAGACTATTAGATGCAATGCCATTAGATGAAATGAGAGTGGTCAAATGTATCTTAAAAGATGGCACATTCTCACGTAATTGGCAAAGTGCTCAGGAAAGGAAACTTACCCCTGTAATACATGAAGTAGCTGCTTGATTCCACCCCAAATCCGGATTTCCACGCTAGTCTCAGGGTCTTCGCAAACCTGCACAAGAATCCAAACTACACTCCACAAAAGCTTGATATGATCAGAATGGAGTAAACTGAGCAAAACTGGAACTCCTTCGTAAATTTTAACTTGTTCTTTGACTTGTGACTCTGCACAGAGAAGACGTAACAACTCTGCTGTAAGCCTAAAAAATTCAGTAAGAGATTCATTGTTAATTTGTATAGTCAGCAAAGAGGACAAAATTCAGCAAATGTTTAAAAAACAAAATAGACCACATATTGAAAAACAGAAGAAGAAGAGTTTAAAGAAAACTTCTTGTCAATGGCATTACAAGTAAAACAAGTAGTACTGCATGTGTAAATTATGTGTACAAGTGTAAACTTCATCAGTGGAAACTGAATAACCCGAATCTGGATTCTTCACCTGTATGGTTTGAATAAAATGTTCACAAAATCCTACTGCATTTCCATTCATTTCAATGTAATTAAGATGGATTTTCTAGAGCAACTATGGTTAGGGATTTCCATCTCCACTTGAGACCAAAAAGTTGCATTCATGTTTGATGAGACATGAAAATCCCTACCTGAACTTAAAATTATTTGTAATGAGCAATGAAATTCATCAGTATCCTGCCAACATTCAAATTCCAATTTTTCTTAAAACCCTTTGGTTTACAAATGATCTATGTAATTTCAAATGCAGAAATGAAGTAAAAAGATTTTGGCATTTTCATTATTTCTAATCATATGCAAAATAATTTACATATGTGAAGTAATTAAACACAATTTTTTAAAAAATTCTGATTTTAAATGTGGATAACATATGTGAAATGTCAGCTTTGAAAGTCGTTCTATTTCTTACTAGAGATATGTCACGCTAAGCTAACAAGCTCAGTTGAGCTTAAAGCGTGTTTAAGGATCATAACAATTTTTTTATTAGAGTGATGGGGGTTCTCACACAGCCTCTGACATAAACTACAGCAGCTCCATGTATTCGAGTTCATGTATATGAGTATACGTATACGAGTTCAATACTTTCCATCTAACCATTCAGGTTTCAGCAGTTAAGAGAAGATATATTAAAAAAAAAACAACATTTTTCTATCACCTTATAGTAACATTACAATTTATTTGCACTGTAGAACATCATCAGAGAGTGAGTCTATAACAGAATTAATAGAAAATACATCACTATATCAACTATTTTAACATGTACTGTAGCTGACAGAAAATACATAGGTTTCAGAACTTCACCCTGAGAATATTAAAATAGCACATTATCTAATTCCTGTAAACAAATATATCTCTAAATGAGAAAAAGTCAAAAATACTTCAACATGATTAATCCATAAGTGAACTCTCACCTTTTAGAAAGCAAATCGTATTCGCGCAATATCACCAGCAAATTCTCAACAACAGTGAGCTCACTTATCTTCTCCCTACATTCTGGACTGGAAATTGATTATTCCTGGCATTTATATCAAATTAATGTATACCAAAAACATATTGCTCTTTATTCTCATTCCTTATACATTTTTTTGACCAGTATCTCTTCCTCCAATCTTATCTAATACTATCACAAATACTTAGAGCCACAGGTAAGTCCTGTCAAGTCTGTCACTGCAATGGTTTCTGACTTAGGAAGAAAAAAACCATAAAAGTGAACATCTGAATGCATAAAAGTAAAGGTGCAAATGTATTTAATTTGTTTCATGCTAGAAATCAAGCAAATGGGGTACAGCAAGACTGAAATATTATTTCAATTATTAAAATGTATATATATTTTTAAAATCCATAAATTGAAACAAATAGAATGAAATACATTGGGGGGGTGGCGAACAGAAAAGTCAGTAGTTAACTTTTCACTGATCTCAAGGAATTGTATTACTCTTTTCAGTTTTACAACTTTCCTCTTTTTTTTTTTCATTTGTTATACAAATAAATTGTTATACAAGTCCGGAATACATTAAGAATTAAGTTATTACGAATGAAAGATGCTGTATCTTCCCCTTTTCTTTCTGCTATTCCTGCTCACAACAGGAGGAAAAGAGAAAAAACACACATCTTTATTTAAAATGGTCACTAGAAAACAGAAGATACATGTACATAGATGTATGTATTCCTTATGCATAGGTTCTGAGCACCGTGATGTAGCTGAAGATGTCCCTCTTCATTGCAGGGGGAGTGGACAACATGAACTTTATGGGTCCCATCCAACTCAAACAATCATATGATAACTTACTACACTGAAGAGTATTGGTTTTGTTTATTGTGGAGTACTGTTCTACTTAGTTTAATATACAACATTTTTATACAGGTGTAAATCAGTAAGAATTACAGAATCCTGCACAGGGATAACAGAGGGATTCCCATGACTCCAGTCTTGCAAACTTCTCCACACAAGTGAGAAGTGTAAATTAATGCAAGGACTGAGGTTTCTACTTAGAAGCTAGTAAAGTCGTTTTAATTTCTCTTTCTTACTAATTTAACGTAATATGAAACATACTTCCTAGACTTCTACAGAACAAGATTTCTTTTTTTTTTTTTTTAAAGAAGTCTTCCACACAAGCAGCAATTTTAATATTACATAAAGACAAAACAATAAAATGCTTATTGTGAACAGCATGTGAAGTTGAGCCTACCTTTCTGCTAAGCTAATCAGGGCAAGGAGAGCACCCAGAAGCACATTGCTGTCTCTGGCAGATAATAAATTTACTAAGGTCTAAAAAATGAAATATGGAACAAGATAAATGAATATAAATTTCACATTTTTCTTTTATGACTCAAACAAAATAATAATGATGTACTGAAAAATCATAAATTTTGACAATTAAGATACAAGTGTCTTAAAGAATACAATGAAAGTTTCAGGGACTTTTAAAATATGCTCAGGGTACATATAAATACAAACAGACTTAGGCCAAACAAAGATGTTTCATATTTAAGGATGTATCTCTCATGACTGTTCAAGTGTCTGTCCAATTTAATGTAACTTTGTAATAACTGTTCCTGTGCAAAACACTTCAAAACTCTAGATGAAGACCTTCCGATGTAAAAAGCTATTTTTAAGCCTGTGTTTAAATTATGCAGTACATAATTTAAGATCTCATATACATTTTGTTAATTATGTATATCAAATTAAAAAATCATATTTGTCTAGATCTTCTAAAAATATTACCTATTCATAATCTCCAACTGCAACATAATAGAATCACACACTAGTTATACTGATTTTTATCCCTAACATTACTGAGTTTGGCTAGAAATTAGCAATAAAATAGATTAAGTGTTGACCCTTATGTTAGCTGTAATCTCTAGCAAGGTTGGCCAATACCTTGCCAACACACAGTGTTGTCTAAGTGAATAACCATAGCAGAAATTTAAAAACAATTTATGTCATAATAGTATGTAGCTCAGGACAGTGTACACTCAATTACTGGAATTGGTTTATTTGAAACATTTAGGATTCAACTACCTCGAACAACTAATAACCATGCATTAGATCAATTATGTCATATACAAGAAAAATACATATATTATGCTAACTCATACCAAGAAAACAGAATTTAGATTATCTTGCTCTACCAACTTAGCATTATTAGGAGCTCAGTGTTAACTAAGTCTGAAGCGGATAAGTCATTCAGTTAAGTAGCTAATTGGTTTTGATAAATAATTTTATAAAGCACTTACTTTATGTGCTCCACTTGCTATAACCCATTCTCTTTGATTTTTAACAGCAGCAATCTTTTGAAGAATGTCTATGGAACAAAGGGAGTCACAACTTCTGGAGTTTTACCACTTAGTATTTTTCATTTTATTAATTTCATAACAAAAGAAGAGTAAGCTATTTGAACCATGACTAGCTCATTTTACTCTGTTATTTTATTTCTTACAGCAATTAATTTCTTAAGACATACTACACATGCATCAAAACAAGACATGCTGTTCCACAAAAATTTCAGTTCTCTTCATACATTCATGATGATGCCTACGATGAATCTAGTAATATATTACTAATATATTAATTACAGGCATTTCAAGCATTTCAAGTATTTTCAACATTTTTTCACCTCATAGAAAAATATCATTAGAGCACTTTATTATGCTTTTATTAACTATTATCTTAATAAAGCTTTATTAACTATTTATGTTAGCAAAATCACTTACATGTCATGTTGACCAACTTGTCTACATTATGTTTCTCTTCTCCACAATCTAGATAGCCATTTGCTACTGTTTCCATATGCTACAAGAAGGGAAACAAATTAATCAATTAATTAATTCAAAGATCCAGGGCGTTAGGCGTGATAACAGCCAGTAGATGGCGCATCTGTTTCATAAAAACGTACGTTCGCAATGGGACTCACATTTAGCTGTAAAACTTGTCACAGTACAGAAGAGGTATTAGAAGTATAGAATAGCATCGAATATAGAAGTATACAAGTATAGAATATAGAAGAATTCTAAATCAAATGAAAAATTTCCACCAGTGGAAAATCCGTTAAAGAGCAGCAAATACAAAAACATTACTCCTAGGGCCAAAACTCCTTTTTTACAAGCTGTGAGCTTGAAAAGAGTTTTCTGTAGAACTGAATTATCACTTGATGTTCCCATTCTCATACTTTTCATAAGCATTTTTTTGGCTTCTGTTTGGAAAAGCTAGTCCACAGGTTCAGACTCTGCACAACATACACAATGGTGACCAGCAGGAGCTGTGGGGCTGGTTGAACAAATCCAACAGGTGGGAAACGATGGTCTGCCTTTTTATATTTCTCTAATAGCTACTGAGTGAAACAATCATCCGAGAAATGAAAGTTATCACAAGGGTGTAATTTCTGTTAGCATACAAAATCATGATGAGATTCCCAGCATCACTTACATGTTGGTCTTTACATACTGTTTTGTTTTTTTTTTTTTTTAATATTTACAATCCTTCAATATTGGACAAATCTTTAATGAGGTGGCATTTTGCAGTCTCCAAAAAACTGTATAGGTAACCTAAATTGGTTTCAAGCATGTAGTACAGAGAGGCTAGAATTACAGCAGCAGTATACTATGTAAAGTATCATCGGTAACAATAATTTAATCATTGCTTTCTACCAATATACCTCAAAACACTTCAAAGTGAAAACAGTTATGTGAAACCATATCACCAAAAATCATCAAACTACCTGAATGAAAACTATATTAGAAACAATCTTTGACTCCCATAACATTAAGAACATTTCAGACAGGTGACTGTCTGAACTAAGAGCTGTAGCACACCACTACTTATTTGAAATAAACACGTGGCACAGTAAATAAGAACGAAAGATAGTTGCATTCCAGAAAGATACATTTGTTTAAACAAAATGTACAAATTCTGATTTTTCATGAATGCAAACTCTCAACAATCAGTCTCAGTTTCAAGCATATTTAAGATTTCACTGATACATGGGCAGCTCCCACTCATTGAAGAACAAGTATTAAAATTCAGAACTAAAGCAATGTTAACATAAGGCAGTAACAACGCAGCAGTTGATTAAGCGATAATGTTCACAAATTTCAATCTGTTCAACCATTTTATTGCTATGCTTTTACCTTTGAGAAGTCATTTGCTTAATTTCAGGGGGTTTATAAACCTCTTCCTTCAAAAGTCTACAGTTTCTTTTGAATGAATCAATTGTGCTGACTTCCGTAATTCTTAGCTCAAAAGGCCTTTGTTAAGCCTTCTATTGAAAAGTCTTGGGTTAAATACTGCTAAGTTATAAGGACAGATCCTTTATGAACTAGTGAAAAAGCACACCCAACTGGTTATATGCAGACAGAGGAATACAACTTACTTCTTTCCAAAAAACAAGAGCATATGTACACTTTTTTACAGTGTATTTCATTCCACTCATAATAAAGCAGCATACAGCTTTGTAGACAACATTTCCATGAGGAATTTTACCTGAGCTAGATTTTCAATCCCACCCAGGCTGTAGAGGATTTCCTAAAAGGAGAAAAAAAAAAAAAAAAAGAACAAAAAAGGATCAAAATACAGAAAACACTGCAGTAAGAGATACTTGAACTAAGTACCCTGATTGTCATGAGTGCTGAGAAATGGTAATTCTAGCAACCAAAGACAATGGATTTTGGATATGCTTAGCAATTTCAGAGTTTAGAATTACTTACAATAAGTAAATAAATAAATTATAGAAATGAAATTTGAAAGGTTCTAACACTAGAACAGTAAGTATAATCTTTGGTACACGTTAAAAAGAAATACATGAAAACAAATATCCTAACAGATGTCAGGGGTTTAGTCGTATGAATAACGGCTATAATCGTCAGAAACACATTTTAAAGCTGTCTGTAACCCAGAGAACTGGGCTGCTAGAAAAAGTAGGCAGCTTTCAGTTTTCTTCACTTGCTACATTATGAAAGTTTTACATATCTATACAGAGAGGTAAAGTAAATATGTAGTCTAGGGCTCTGGGCAATGGTCCATCTGTTATGGAAATTTAAAGCTTATTTATTAGGGTTAGCAACATGAGAAGCTACAAAATATACATCAGAAATTGAGCAAGTTATCCAATAGCAGCAAGAGTTCATACGTGCAACCTGTTTGCAACACACTTGGATCTTCAGACATAGAAACACAGGTATATACACACATATATGTAATAAGTATGCATTCACAAGAATGTACACATTTATATGTACATTTAACAACAGAACCGTAAGTATGATGCATAAATGAATCCTTTTATGCAAGAAAAAAATACTTTGACATACAGACCTGATAGTGTGGATCTCTTATTAATAATCTCAGGCAGATTAATACTCTAAGAAAATGGATGGATGGAGCTTGATTTACCCATTCCCTGTAAAACAAATGTCCTAAGCATAAAGCAAATACAATAAACAAGTACAAACAGTGTTATACAAAAGATTTTGATACAGGAAGCAAATGACTATAAGATTATTGACCTGTAACAACTTAAGAATATACAGCACCATAGAATTCTATCCCATTCTGAGCAATTCTCCAACATAGTGACAAAGTGATACATTTAAATATTCTCGATACAGGATTATACTTCCTAATAGAATTTCCTCTTTTTTTGTTTCGGTATACAGTTCAAGACCAAGACTTGGAAGAAAGCACAAAGCATGTAGGGACAGCAGTCCTGTATAAATACCAGTAACAGAATAACTATTTCCATTGTCTGTTGAAGGTATATATCACCATTTTCCCATCTAAAATAAACCTAAATTCAGATATCTTCAGGGATTTTTTTTTTGTTTTTAACTGAGAGGACAGAATCTGTATCCGGGCAAGATTCCAAGGAACAGAAGTCTACGTGATATGGCAGTTCTTAATTTATCATTTGCAGTTGGGAAAGATGCCAATGCCTAAAAATATTTTGATAAAAATAAAATGTTTTGCAAACAGATACTAGCAAAATCTCACTCCTTCTATGCCAACATTCTGCCCAAAATAATAGTATGCTTCCATACTCAGCCACTTAAGAAAAGTGCATAATTTTCATGGGCAGCAACAATATACTGGTAGGCAAAAGTTAGTATGTCAGATTGGAAAACTATTTTCAGCTCACTTTAACTGGTGGTTCTTCAGAGTTATTCTTTCAAAACATTTTGACTCTTGACAGTGAATATCTTCAATGACAAATAATTTGTCATATTTCTGTGCAGAAACAGTAATTCTCTGAGCCTGGTTGACATTTGCAGGCCTCTTCTACTATAGCTACATTTACATTCCATGTTACTAGAGAACTCAGTGTAATACTCAGCATATGCCAGCAGGATTTTTTTCTGCCTGCTTTGTTAAACTTCAGAGCCAAACAACTTAAGCTAAGCTTTCACAGCTTTCTTGCCAACAGAACAATCTCTAACTTCTGCCAACACAGTGATGCTGGTAAGTAAGTGTGCTGGATTTTTTTTGGCATCCCAATCAACATAGTTACACCTGCAAAAGTGTGTAATGCGGACCATTCTACAATTCTGACCCACTGCAGTGGCAGTAGTTCCAAACACCATAAACCATCGCATCCATGATAAAATACTTACAAAGGGCAGCTAAATCACCTTTGTAATCATACTTAAATTATCAAAGATAAGATGGTTCCTCAGTTAATTCTGCCAAGGGGTCCAAGCAAACTGTGCAAATTTTTGTGGTATTTTTCAAGTACATCTGTAAAATCTATTTGTTACACATCAGCAGATTTAAATGCTTTAGGATTCCTCCTTCAAATTTTTGCACTGAGAATTCTTCATAAAAAGTATCTGATATTCAAAAAGGAAAAATACAGCATATAGCAGTGGTAAATATTAATACAAATCCTGAAATTCTGAGGTACTTTTTAGCAAACGTTCTATACCCCTCCATTTTTGAAGATCTTGCAAAATTTTCCTGCTCATCCAAATGAGAGCAGCCTAAGAAAGAGCTTTTTCTATAAAATACAACTGAAAAAAAAATTAAAATAAGAATGAAATTATTTAGAAAAACAAACTATATATTACAAACTATCAAGCAGTTGTTAGAACTTTGGTCGTTCAAATTTCAACAAAATACTCATCATTTTAAAATTATAACTCAGATTATGTAAAAACATGAAGCTACAAGTTTCCACACAGACATCTGTTTATGAAACATATATACCAGGCCTTATCCATGCATGTTCATTCATTGATTAAGGCAAGAAAGAGTGATCTCTCCTCATTGGAAATGAATGTGTTTAACATACTGACCTGCAGTTAAACCTGTTCTTAACTAAAGCGGTAAAAATATCTTGAAATAGCTTGTGTTTGGGATGTTGGCTAAAATTTCTCTCATTCTTGTAGGTCACACTAATGGCAGAAAAGAAAAAGAAAAAAAAAAAAAGGAAAATGCTGAGCTGGTAGTTATGTTTTAACAAGTCAAAACGCCAATAAGAAAAATGAAGAAGTGTCATACAAGCACTTGCAATAGAATAACATAATTTCAGGTTTTCAGACAGTAATAATTTTGAAGAACAGTCTGACTTGCATAATGTGAATCTATCATAATGGTATAATAAAAGCTTTCCAAACAAGCCATTACTTTATTTAAATTGAATATATTAACTTTCAACAGTTCCCTCTATTGAATAGAAGCACATGTCAAACTTACAAAGCAAAAATATTCACACTTAGGTTTAGAAAAAATAGAATTGCATCATTAACATCTCAGCAGGTTGACATGAAACTACAAGTAAGAGACACAAAATATAAATGATTTCCACAACTCAACAAGACTAAGACACAAAAAGATGTTCAGAAATATGACACAGTGTCATCATACTGGCTCTTTCTTTTACCTAAAGTTTTCAAGCTCAACAGCTTCAGCTGACTCTTGCCATTGACGATGGAGTTTTTGTCCATCACTTCTGACATTTTGCAGAGATCTTGTTGTGCTGATTTGACCATTTTCAAAATGTGTAGCTGAAAGCTAAGGAGGAAAGAGGCACTGATGAGGCAAAACAGTTTTATTACAAAAATGATAACAAGCAAAATCACCTTTTCTCAGTTTTTCACTTGAACTATAGATGCTGTTAAATCTTTAATGTATGACTGCCATTGTAAAATACAAACACATGCATCATATGATACTGAAGTGGTAGAAAACCAATGCAAAGCAAGGTTGGAAAACAAACACATGGAGATATATGAAATATAAAGAAAGCAGCCTTTTTAAATTTGTAACAAGAGAATCTCCAACACACACATTATCTATGTGCACAGCCTCCATTTTCTTTTAGGTCGTAGAAATTGAAGTTTCAGCTTTCGGCTCAGAAGCAATCCATGCCTCTACCCAGGAAAGGAAATGAATAACTCCTGTATTCCATGGACAGTTCCCTTACTTTGGGATATTCTTGTTACAGAATAGAAAGAAATAAATTGCTTTGATATTCCCAGGACTCACACCCATCTTCACATGTTGGTTTTCATTGCTTCAAATGGTAAACGCAAGCTCCATCAAATGATTTGAGGTGAAGATTTTACAATATCCTAAAAGTTTCAAGCACTTATAATATATTTATGCCCAGAAGAGTTTCAGCTGAATTATTATTCTCTGAAGACAAACTGCTTATGACTAAAATGCTGATTTTTAATTTTCTGTACCTTATTACTCTTACTTTATTACATGTTAGTTTATTACATATTGTAACTAATAAATCTCTAATCCTACCTTCTACAGAAATTTTGGAAGGGCTTTGAAGAAAATGAATTCACAAGGCTACTTAACTATGTCTGTTAATACCTGAATACAACCTGTTCAAGATTATAATAAATAAATTTTTTTCCTGTTTAAATAAAGATTATGGCAGAGTAGGACAGGAATTGGCTCAGCTTCATTCTTCCAACTTTTCTGAGTAGGATTTATCTCACAGAGATGCTATATAACTGCCAAGGGGGAAGGAAAAAAAAGGACACCACATACACTACACAAGATTTTACTAACACAATCATAATGAAACACAACAATATCACAAGCATGCGCTACAAACCTTAGTCAACTGTATTTGTGATTATACGGTTATACAGCATGTTTAATAATAGCTATTACTATATAAATATTATTTATATAATTATTTTATATAATTTATTATTATATAAATATATACATATTATACCTGTTGTTTGCTTGATGGAGCATTTAAGAGAGACTGAAGTCTTTTAAGGTCAGAATAGTCTCTAGAATAAAACACAACAGCATAGTATATATATTAATAGTTACATAAAAGTACTTCTTAAGAGTAAAGAAAATCAATAAACAGTGCTACTGACAGAAAATAAAATTGTCTACTGTCCTCATTTTGCATGGAAAAGAATTTAGAACCCCTCCAGAACGCCTTAAGTCAACAGAGGTGTAAATAAACTTTGTGACCAGAGTAACAGTTGTCATGTTTATACTACATTTCAAATTAAAGCATTCTGCTTTGGCAGCCAGTAAAAATTCCACACGGGTTCTGCTGAAGTTCAAACAAAGTAAGACATCAGATACTATACCTCATAGAAATCCCATGAGGTTTTTCGTCTGTTGCTTTTTCTGTGCTCTTCAGCTTTTTGTCCTGATCAGGCATTGTGCATCAGTCTCATCATCACACGACTAAAGCACTCATTTCCTTAAAAATAAAAAAGATAGATCTATATCATTGGAGCGTTAAGCACCAAATGTCTACTTACACAACTAAATGAAAAGGAAAAGAAAAAAAAACAACCAGAAAAAAAAAAAAACAAAAAAAAAAAAAAAAACAGCTCTAGCCTTCTGTAAACATAAAACCTTAGGCATTAAATGAGGATACCTTTTAGGATTCCAGATATTAACGAGAAATTTATAAATGTAAAATACAGAAGACTTACTTTCCCAACAAGTTTTTGGTGAAGGTAAATAATACTAGCTGTCTTACTACTGTGCTTCCCTTTTATTCGTATTTTTCCTCTTCTTGCTTATTTTTACCATTATTTCTCACAATGGCTTGTTTATATTAAAGTAGTGCTTAGAGACTGGCATTAAGTTTGTGTCATACAAGGTATTGTTCAGACAATATAGGAGACAACAGCTTAACTATGTAATTACAAAAGATGGATTGAGGAAAGAAAAAGGAGGTATCTGACAATCATACGTGATGTAATACCTCGTGCTGATGTATTACATGTCTAGAAAACAATCAGATAAATTTTCTGTAGAGGTTGGAATCTGACTCTTCTGAATTTCAGTTGAATGCTTTATACCCATAGCACTCAGCTTCTCTTGCAAAGTAGGACATAAAGCTTATTTCAATAGGTGAACACAGCTGTAATGGCTTGGCCTCAGGAGAATCAATACCATACATTAGATCCACTGCAGTCAAACATTCAGTCTGTTTGTCACGTTAGTAGCTCTGACTTCCCACTAACACCCATGTTCTGTTGCCTTCACGTATTTGTTCAGTAAGTCGTAGAAAGAGAAAATAATCATGTGGAATCTCCTTCTGCTGTGAGGGTAATTATGTTGGTGCAGCATATTGGTTTAGCATTCATTTAGTCCAAGAGGAAAAAAAGGAGATGGTCAGAAGCAGGCTGGAGCTGAAGAATTACTCAGAGAACTACATACAGCCGAATCATATCGGTAGAGCACCCATGATTTAAAAAATAAAAATATAGCACCACTGTCAGACTCTTCCTGTCCATTCTACTACTCATTAAATATGGATAGATTGGGTGTTCCTTCTGGTGTATCTTTTACCAGGGCTTTCCCTCTGAAATCTGACAGCTTTTTGTTGTTGTTTTTTTCTTTCTCTTTTTGCAGTGCAGAGTTCCGCTATTGATTTTTATTCCTCCTCCTCACAAAGGCAAAAAAACAAAGACAACCAGAGTGGAAACAAAAGGAATACAAACAAACCAGAAGATGCTGCTTCCTACTGAAAAATCAGAGTTGCTTTCTCAATTATACATTCTCATGTTAGACACAAAATTAACCAAAATGCAACTGCTGACAGCATGAACCCAAGCATTGCATTAATTCACTCTGGGAAGTGTCCTATAAGACCAGTTCATCTGTTTCTGTTCTACGAAAAAAGCCTTTATCCTACCACTGTTAATCCCATAGAGAACAGTGGATCTTGATCCCCAAGAAATTCCACTATTCTCTTCCATGCATCCCCACAAAACCAATATTAAAAACACTTCAGAACATTCCTATGGTACCAGCTATCACTAGGGAATGAAAAGAAATAGAATCAGTTCTACCAGTAAGTAGACAAAACCCTTCATCTTAGATTAAATGAAGGCAGCTCAATTAATTCATGTCATTTCCTTCAAAAGCAGCGAAAGTTATGAGAAGTCAGGTACAGTGTTAGGCATATATAAGAAACCTCTTGAGTACAGATTTCCACAACTTGATTTAGTAATATTTTTGTTTCTTATCCTCTCCCCAGTATCCTAATCCATTTGGCACATTGCTGAGGCATGGCATGATGCAACCATCACCTCACAGTTACACACCAGTACAGTGACTCCCAAATTATCAACTTGCTCAAGAATACATACATACAAAGAACAGATTTCAATCACTTACCAAATAATCAAACACAAACCAACCATGAGTAAATACAGATAAATCCTAGAAAATTCAACACGTAAAACAGTAGGATTCCAGTACAGTCAAGGTTACATTCAAAACTCTGAGGTCTTCATGATTATCTACAAAATACCTCACAAATGTGAAACCTTTCATCCACAGATCACACTCAACCTTGCTTTAGAGCTGCCAGGCCACTGATCTGCACCACAAAGTGGTGCCTTAGTCAAGAAGAAACAGAATAGCACCTGAGTAATATTTTAGAGGCTCACTGCTGTTATAGGTGCACTGCTGTCACTGAGAAAGAAGGAAGTCTGTCTGAGAAAGAAGGAATGCAGCACACCCAGGGACACAGCCCTCACCCAACGCAGAGGGTTCATCCTGAAGCTGTCTCTGTTTCCTAGAGGACACTGAGCGTGCACAAGTCAGTAAATACTAGAATGAAAAGTGGGCAGCCCCACAGCTGCTGAATGACCCTGCACAACCTCCATCTGCCAGCATGGCCTCACAAGGCTGCACCGTCTGCTCGACTGGGAAAGCTGAATCAGGTTACAACTAATCCTCTGTGTTAACCCTGATCACCTTATAGCTTGTCCCCAAGTACCGTTGGTGTACAAGGGCAGGGATAATACGCAGAACAAAGAATTTATCATTGTGGTTTAAAGCGTTTGAGCCCTTCAATTTGCCTCCAGGGCTAAACCGATGGAACAGCCGTCTGGTGGTGAAAATGGCAGCTGCTGACTCCTCCCAAAATCTGCCACTCCCTTTCACTTGTTCAGTTTATCTGGTCCAAATCTGAGAGTTTAGAGAACTAAACAGGCAAAGAGCCACGTGCTCAAAGAGCTCACATACAGGCAGTTTGCTACAAATTTAGGTCACCATTACAGCAGCCCAATGAGCTGCTTGCAAGGAAAGGGGGGGGGGGAAAGGACAGGAGTGCACAGCTATGAGAAGAGAAGCACAGAAAACCCTTTCATCAGGAGCCAGTCATTAAACCATGTGGGTGCACAAGCACCACACCCCGAGTGATGGGTACCACAGGAAACAACCCCTTGTTTTCTATGTGCCAGCCATAACCCTGAGAGAAAACAGACGTGGAAAATGTCCTTATTGATTCACACACAGTTACCTGCCTTTCTTGAAACCATTGAGTACATTCCCACCCCTGTGTTTTGTCTTTACTTGTGCCAGAAGAAATTTCCATGGAGCCAGACTATTAACTATCTTACTAGCTAGTAAGCTGGCTTCATGAGTAATGCATACAAAACAAAACAACACCTGCATCTCAGTCAGGTAGACAAAGATTGAGACTGGACAACTTTAAAAAATAGAAATGTATTAAGGAAAATATCCTCACAGCGCAGATAGAGCCTTATTCAACTTCATTTAAAACAATGAAATGAGAAAAATATTAACTAATTTATTATAACTAGTGATAATTACATTTAATTAGCTATCATAACGCAATCACATAGAAAGAAAGATGCATTCTAACAGTGTTGGTGTGCAGGATAGGACAAGGAACGTTCCAAGAACCCTATCAGAAAAAATCCACATGATGAGAAACAGGAGACAAAGGAATCACCACAAAGATTTGATCTGTGGCCCAGTCTGTCTCAGACAACACAAGGTCATAAAGCTTCAGAAGGTGAAAAGAAACCCCCAAATAAACAAAACCACAAAGACATATTGGAGAATAAATTATTTCCATAAACTACAGCATAATGTTTAAAAACACTCTTGAACAAAAAGATATCTTACGTTCTTCATAATGTTATTAGCAATAACTACTGGATGCAGATGACAGATACAAACAGCTTTGTAATCTAACTAGCTGCTTGATTGATCACAAACTCCTTCCTTAATCACCCTAGTGGCTGAGTTCCACTACGTAACTATATACAGAAGTTTAACTGGCTTGAGCTGGATAAAGGAGTAGAAGACTTTTCATGTCGTTGTTAGATAGGAATTTATCTAATGCCATAAGCTGGGTGTGAGGTCAGATGAAAAATCACTCCTTAAAAGAGCAACTATCAGCACACTACAAATGCATTTCAAATGTGGTCAAATGTTGGCTAAGGATGCACCAAAGAAGACTAAAAAGTTCCCAAGATGTACTTTTACTTCTCCAGCAAAGGGCTGGACTGCATCCCTCTCATTCTTGGACAGCATGGCAGTCAGAGGATACACCATTACACTACAAATTCCCAACCCATGAAAATGTACAGACAACATTTGAAGAGTTCTTCTCACAAGATGCATCACCTGAATCAATGTGGAAATCTGCATGTTTATATGAAAACATCCATACGCATGTATTTTCTTCTTGAATTTCATTCAGTCACTTCTTAGAAGATTCTTTGAAGATAAACTAGGATTCCAAATGAAGCTCCCATTTTCCCAACAAATGGAAACACAGTCGCCTGCTTTTCCCTCTGCACCAAACCAGTTCTAGGGAAGCCATAAAAGGCCAGACCTGTTTCACACTCTTGGGCACATACAGTGCGAGACTCTGGGCTTTTTTCCAGATCGTATCTTGTATCTGCATTTTCTGCCTAAGCCCACAATGCCAATCTGCAGCTCATAGATGAAGGAAAAGTAGGTTTCTGAGGGGTAGATAGCAGCCTTCCACCAAGGCAAGAACCATATGTAGCTGTATGAAATCCGTGCTGTTTGCCTTGCTTATCAGGCGGCCTGTGGGGGACTAGAGACACTGGGAACTATGAGGGAGGGTTTAGTGCTTTCTGAACACACAGATCAGTGAAGGTGCAAGGCTGGGGACAACACTGTTAGAAGGAAGGTGGGAGAGTCCCTAGTAACACCCTTCTCTACAGATTGAAAGAAAGAGATCTGATAAGTACTGTTTGATGGACAAGGAATTGGCTGCAAGATCGTACCCAATGGTCAATGGCTCAATGTCTCGATAGAGATTAGTGAAAAGTGGTGTCTCTCAGGGGTCAATACTAGGACCACTGCCCTTTAATATCTTGATCAGTAACATCAACAGTAGAATGAAATGCATCCTCTGTAAGTTTGCAGATGACAACAAGCTGTGCAATGTGACACACCTGAGGGATGGGAAAGAGATCATCCAGAGAGACCTGGACAGGCTCGAGAAACCTAGTGCAAGATCTAGCACCTGGGTCGAGGCAACCTTTACTACAAATACAAGCTGAAAGATGAAAGGATAGAGCACAGCATCCTGTCAAGAAGCATTTGGGGGTACTGTTGGATGAAAAGCTGGACATGAGCCAGTAATGTGTCCTTACAGCCCAGAAAGCCAACCGTACCCTAGGTTGCATCAAAAGAAACATGGCCAGCAAATAGAAGGAGGTGATCCTGCCCCTCTACTCTGCACTGGTGAAGACTCACCTAAAGTACTACATCCAGATGTGGAGTACTCAGCAGAGCAGAGATGTGGACCTGTTGGATTGTGTCCAGAGCAGGGCCACAAAAATGATCCCAGGTATGGAACATCTCCTCTACAAGGACAGGCTAAGAGAGCTGGGGGTGTTCAGCCTCGAGAAGAGAAGGCTCCAGGCAGACCTAAGAGCAGCCTTCAAGTATCTAAAGCTGTAAGAAAGAAGGGGACAGGTTCTTTAACAGAATTTGTTGCGATAAGACAAGGAGAAATTATTTCAAACTAAAAGAGAGGAGATTTAGATTGGACATAAGTAAGGAGTTATTTACAATAGGGTGATGAGGCACTGGCACAGGTTGCCCAGAGAAGTGGTGGATGTCCTATTCCTGGAGAAATTCAAGGTCAGACTGGAGGGACTCTGAGCAACCTGAACTGTTCATTGCACAGAGATGGACTAGATGACCTTTGAAGGTCCCTTCCAACTCCAATGATTCTATGATTCTAGGGTGGGGACAATGCAGCTCTTACCCAAGAGACATTACTTCTAGCTCGCCAAGGAGACCCAGTGCTGGATGTGACCTCAGGCTGGTGGATGGCACACAGCACAAAACCGGTTCCCCACACTTCCCGTGCGTTACTTAAGACTGGGCAGGCCCGCCCCAGCACTTGATACCTTTAATGCGTCTTATACCACGTAGCACATCTGCATGCATCCCCAAATGCTAACATCACGTTTCAGTTTGTTTTTTTTAACACCTCTGACATCTTTACATAGTACCTCTCTGCGACTTTAATCACACAACGGCCGCACCATCTGACTCCCCGACCTCCCCCGCCCTCCTCGCGGGCCGGCTCCCTCCCAGACAGGGGCCTGCGGTCGGCCCTCATGGCGCGGCCTAAGAGCCTCTCCCCACGCGGTTGCATTGGGGCACCCCTGCCCTGCCCCACTCACGCGGCAGTCCCCGCACGCAGCCTCCGCCACCGCTTCGTCCGGAACGCGGCCCCAGCCGACGGCCAATTGCACGTCGTCTTCTTCGGCAACGGACGACGCTGCAGCCAATCGCGAGGCGCCGTGCTGGGAGGCGCGAGGATACCCTAGCGACCACCGACGCCGGCCGCTGTTGCCATGGAAACGAGGACGCCCGGCCGGAGCGGCAGCCCGGCTCTCCGGCACAAATACAAGAAGGCGAGATATTGTCCAGTAGATTTTTATTGCTTTTGCCAACTTTCTGAAACGTTACAAAAGATAATTTTATTCTACCAGTAATTAAAAACAACGAAGGCTGGATCTTTCACATTGAAGACTGAGTCTGAGATCGGTGTTCTCTGTACAAACCGAAGATCGCTTCTACATTTGGGATTCCGTTACAAAGTACGAAAGCGTCGCTGCCGTTAGAAAAGCGGTCGTACAAAGCGGGACCGTACGGCGTGTGATGGCACCTCCGACCAGCGGCACTGAGGTCAGAGCGCGGCTCAGCTGCGGGTGCTGAACCTCGGAAGACAGCGCTGCGCGGAGCAGCCGCAGCAGAGGGGCTGTATTGCAAAGGGTGTGCCTCGCCCCAGCGTTGTGGAGTAGAAAAGGACTGGCTGTCAAACTCACTATACTAAATTCCGTACGAAAATGTCTTTTAGATTAACTTCAATGCCAACTAAGAAGTTCCTGTAAGTTCTCCCTAAAAAAAAAGTTATAGAATAAAACAGACTTAAAATTCTAAGCAATTTGCTTTGTATTCATAGCACTAGTCTTACACTGACTCAAAGCTGTGTGCTTCTAGTCTTAAAATTTGCTGTAAAATAAATTAGTTGGTATCAACAAAGTATTTCACACGTTCGTACTGTACTTTATAATAAATTTTACCTAAATGAGTAATTAAAACATTACTAATCACAGAAAGCAAAAGGAAAACTAAAATCATTGTGATGCTCATCTAAGAGGCTACACTGTGAACTGAAAATCATGAGTCACTTATCTTAGATTTACAGAACATATGTACAAGACAATCCTTTAAAACTGTGCAGACACTGTGACAGGACACCACAGGTTTGTCACAGGTGTATTTTACAGAAGCTGAACCTGCCTGACACGAGGCAGGAAACTACCACATAAAGACAAAGATGCAAGTGAAGCAAATGAAAAGTTATGGGAAAACTTTCATTACTCACAGAAGAAAAAAAAAAAAAATGGCCTGTACATTTGGTTGAAAAACCCCAACAGGGCATTGAATTCTATCCTAGCGACCTTACCATGTCTAACTTGGCAATTTGGAACATTTCCCTAAACAACAACATATTCTGTCGTAGCTGCAAAATTCATCTAGGAAGGTATAATTAACTTGGGCATATGTAAACAGAATGAAAGCATGTCATTGTAATACGTGAGAAGTACTGAGAAGGAGTTTTGTAGAGTTTAATTTAAACAAAAGACTGCATTTTAAGTGAAATATTTTAGATGATAATTTAAATGGAGTGGTCAAAATTAAGACCCACACTTCATGTAAACATTCATATTTATAAATAAATTAGAAAAAGGGAAAACAAAACAAACCAAAAAAAAAAGAAGACTGGGGACTTCCTGAGGCGGCTCTGCAGCCAGATACACAGTAGCACTAAGCTCCATTCCGGGAAACCAAGGCATCTAAAAAAAAAAGTGCAGGACTGTTCATTTACCTCTAACTGCTGGAATGGAAACGTATTGGCTTAATTTTTATACGGCTTAACCCCTATGAAAGAATCAGTGCACAGTTATTATCACTGCTCTTTGACACCCATTAAGGCAAAACTTATCAATATACAGTCCGCGATAATCTTAGCTTTACTTCAACTACGCACAAATTTAAAGCAAAAGTGGTACACAGTGAGCAGTAAGTTATTAACCATACGTTATCCATGGGTTTTTATGCACTCAATACCACGTTGTCTTCTATTCACATGGGGGAAAAAGTGCAAGCTAGGACACGCTACTAACAAAGAACACTGGAACTAAAGGTCACTGTAAACTGCTTTGCAAGTCAAGGGATTTCTGGCACTGATGGAAGTATCTACAGAATTAGAATTAAAGAAATACTGCAGTTAGACTTGTGGGCTTTGGTGGTTCATTAGCTGTTTTTAAACTTCACAAGAAAAACACCTGCTTCCTGCAGTACTGGCTGTTCTTTAACCCTTCAAAAGCAGAAGCCAGATAAAAGTTGTATAGCACCAGGGAACCCTGATTTCTGGCACTGAAGAGTTAAAAAACCTAAGAAGCTTATAATCATCTTCTGACTTTTGGAAACAATCATGGGGCTCTGAATATGATGTATAAAATACTACTACGAAGAGTGGTACAAAAGTAGCTTATTGTGGATAACACTATGTAAACTGCTCAAAATAGCATTTTCCTTCTTAGATTCACCAGCAGCCAGCTAAGAGCCAGTAACTGATGAGCAGATGAGTTGGTCTGTTGTGGTTTGCTGGTTGTGTTTGTTTTTTTTTAATAATGCAACTGCCTGCCATATTTTCATTGCATCTCAGTTTCATTAGAGGGAAAATAGCTATTTCCTGAAAGAGCAAATACTCAAGCTAAGGCACAAGCTACGCCGTTATCTAAGGATAAATGGGCATCACCCTGTAGAGGTCATACACAGTCAGATTAGTAATGCAGACCTCACTTGCTTTTCCACTGAGCCTTTGTCATGAGAACTTGGGTTGGATCTTTCATACTGCTGTATGCTATTATGCATTTTCAGTAAACTGCCTTATCAATTCAGTCAAATGGAGAAAACAAAAAAATAAACTATTAAATCATGTGTAATAGGAATGGCTAACAGCCCATATAACTTAAGCATTATTTTCAAATATTTTTTCTTATTCCAACTGATGGGTTTATTTTCATAATATACAATTATCTTTCATCTCATTGTTACTCGTCTGAAGAATACCAGAATTCCAACTCAGGGGTACTTCCAGATGAACTCTGCCTTCCTCCAAATCTGCTCCTTTGCATTCACTGAGAATTATACCACGAAGTCCACAGTAAAACTCACAAATCTACCAAAACAGAATTAAGCTAACAGTATGCTCTAGTTTGAAATGTGCACAGATTCTAATTAAAGCCTTTATAATACATCCAGAAAGGGCTGGTAGAATCTAAAAAGACTACTTCAGAAATTTAAGCCAAAAAACAAAGGCATAAGGCAAAAAAATATTAGCAATGGAAACTGCAGCAGGTAATCGATCAAGCTTTTCACTTGCACATAAAATTCTCATCATCTCAGATTTTACACTGCTGAACACTAAACCTCAAAAACGTAAATACAATAAATGCACTTTTTAATCAATGCATTTTTAATCAATGAACCTCCAAAATCCCATTTACTTCAATAAATGAGTATTTACTTTTTCAATTCTTCTAACACGATAAAATTTTATACTAATTAAAATAAATAAAATGCTTAAAATAAGTTGGTGTGCTATCACGTATGCCCTTTACAATGAAGAGAATCAGAACTGTACACAGAAATACCACAAGCAATTTGTAATCCATAAAATAATATTGATCATAAACCTATTACAGAATTAAACTGTGGCTAGTTTAATCAAATATATAATAAACTTTAAAAATGAATTGAGCAAGAAAGATATTCTGATGAGGACGTGAAACACTCTGAATTGTCAGTCTTAGAGTAAATCAGTTTTTCAAAGTCAATGGAAAGTGTAAATAAAAACAGCTAAAGAAATCAAGAGCACTAGTGTAGCAAGTATAACTTCCTACAGAACAACTTGCTGCCTGTAAGTTCAATTTATATTGAGTAAACACAGATTTCAGAATGGCAAATACTGACTTGGGACTGTAACTACAGTTACTAAAATCATATGGCTACTGGATGAAAATGAAAAATCAGGGGTATATTTAAAAGTATCAGAACAGGATATTTACATGTATTTCAAGGGTTATTTAGCCATCTGACTTAGGGCTCTAGGACTCCTCTGTAAAATATGAGTGACAGAATCCAAAACACATTAGCATGTAGTGGAGATACAAAACACAGTAATTTATGTTAACAGGACATTAATATCTGATCTATGAAATCACCAAAAAAGTATACCCTGCAGAAACAAGCAGTAATTTCCTGCACGGAAAACAAACTTCTGTAGCGCATGTTATAAACAGAGGTAATGGCAAATTCTAAGCGATGTGGACCAGTAATCATCAGCAAAAGCTGATTGAACTTTTATGCACATATTGATTATTGAAAATAATAGGCATTCATTACAATATTCCTATTTAAAATGAAAATAAAATTCCCAATAAAATAAATAGCTGAAGTGTGATTACCACTCAACTGATCTGTAAGCAAATCTTTTCATGTCAGCGTATCTACAGTTCCCTAAACAATGGCAGAATTAAATACAAGTTACTCCTTAAATTGGAAATCACACTTCAGTGGTATAATATCCTACAATGATATATATACACACACACAAATACACACAATTCCCCCTGGTTCAGTTCTATAAAGATGTTTCAGCATCCACGTATTTCACAACAGGTGAATCTTCCACATTTATTTTCACACTTTCTGGTTTCTCAGGGCTGTTGAAAGTAAAGACAATCATTTAAGATACTGTTCTTTTTTCTCAAAGCTAGTCATCAAACATTTTATACTCAAGCGTCAAGATAGTATTTAATTCAAGTACATTTCATATCCAATAAAAATACTATCTGAGCCAATTTAATTTTTAGAAATCTAAACTAGGTTGGGCAAATATCCAAACCCACCAACCCAGTGGAAGATCCAAGCAGCAGTGAAAATGCTGTACTTACCTTTTATTCTCTCTGGCATTTGTAATACTCAGGACCAAACATGCTCATATACACTCTAATAAAGCATTCAGATTCCCTAAACCTATCAGAGTAGCATACAACTGTATTAAGCAAATTAAAAGTAACACTAAAATACTAATAATGCACTTAACAACATCCTTTGACATTGTTTGATTTCAGAGCAGAGAGCAAAAATTAAGCTCAAAATCAAGTTCCTCTCAAAAGTCCATGTATAAACCATGTATGCTTATAATCTGATATATACTTCAATAAATATGAGTACAGTAATTAGCTACCAAAGACATGACAAAAGTTAGAAAACATGTGAGTAATTATAGCTACCTCAGGTTAGCTCTGGTTACTTTGGCATTCTCAGTACTCATGGACAGAGCCTTCCACTGTGCAGTTTTGGCCATTTCATCTGATATGTTTACAACTGAGGGATCAATGCTAAAGAACAAACATACTTTCTGGTTAGTACTCAATGCCCTTCAAACACATTATACTTGCTGTCACTCATAAATCACATCAGTTGCGCCTTCTCTCATCGTTTACGCAGCCACAAGTTGAATTAATCACTTACCACAGTACTTCAATGAAAACTTCAGTGTAATAATTCACTAGTGCTACCTTAATCTCATGGTATCATCAACAGTTTGTCACAGACAGTCACAATCTGAGAGTGGTATCTCATTTCTAAATTATCTTTAACTTCAGAAAATTATTTTGTATATTTATAAATAATGAAATGAATCATACAGTTCTGTTAGGGCATTCATACAGAGAATTATTTTAAGCTGTTTCCAGTAAACAACCAAATGTTAATAAAATTCTGGAAGTGGTAACTCAGTTCAGATTAAGAAGTAGCAGAAATTTGAATGTCATGACTTTTTTCCCCCCCCCCTATTAAAGTTCAGTCTCACAAGCAGTAAGCTTTCAAAATCTGTTTTTGACCTTTGCCTTTCACACACTTAAAGGTAAAGCAGACTTAAACGTCCATACAGACAATGCCTAAGCTTCAGAATCTACTCCAGATGTATAAGACTACATCAAAGCACCACAGAAACACATCAAAGCTTATTTTTCACTGGGAATCCCCACAAGTTGCAGTACAGTGAAATACATAGTAAATACACATGCAGACAATTGATGAATTCATAGTTCTATCATGAGAGCAATCAGCAGTTGCTCAATTTAAAAAAAAAAAAATTAAATGATTTTGCAGTCTTCACTTCAGTTGAAGTTGAACTGAACCTGCTCTTAGAGCAGACGATAAGACTGAGCAGGAATATGTCTAAACTGAAAACCTGCCTGTTCCCAAGCCAATTTAGATGTTATACTAAAGGATGTGGTTTAGTGGAAAAATATTGGTAGGTGGATGGGTGTACTAGATGATTTTGGAGGTCTTTTCCAACCTTAGTGATTCTATGATTGAATCAGGGTAGACCCAACACCTGAAATTTTAATGTAGGGATTTTTAGTATTGGACAAAAAAGTTGGCACGCTATTCATTTGTCAGAACTTCCAGGTGTTGAACGGCTGTAAAATACTTGACAACTAAGCAGAATACTGTGCACGAGTACAAGAAACTCACACAGAGGCAAAACACCTTCCACTGCTGTGAAACTGCAGCACTTCCTTTTCTGGAAGAAAGCTGATAACCTGTTGCCCTACAGTGTACATTCAGAAATTAACCTCCTTAAGCAAAAAGACTGCCTGCAAAACAATTTTTTTTTTAGGTCACAGAAATTAGCATTCACTTAAATAAACCATTGAAGAACTGCACGTTTAGACTACCACTGAAAAACCCAAGTGGCTGGTAAACACATGGCTCAACTGATGCTATTAGTTGCTTAATACTCAATTTTTCATGCACAGTAGCACACAAATATTCCACAAAAACTGACCAAGGAAGCTTCTTCACCTTGAGAACAGCTGGTCGAAATTGAGTCATCAGATCTGTTCAAGATGGTCATGTAAATTTATAATTAAAAGTGTTTCCACAAAAAAAAAACCCAAAAACAAACAAAAAAAGCCCCACACTGCCATAGCACCAGGTAACAACCTTAATCAAGGCTGTTACTAGCTTGAGGAAAAAAATTAAGCTCAGATATGACCAACTGAATATGAAGTAAATTATGACATTTGATAGAATACTTCTTAGTAAGAAGACCAACATATTATTATACCTGTATTTTAGAGTTTTTACAGGAAAATTCAAAACATTTCCTTCTCCATACTGAAGGTGTACGCTCTCATTGTCCTCTGTCTGAAGCATTCTCTCTGCCTCCTGTAAATTTTAAGTAAATATTTTGTAAAATTCTTTCATACAGAAGAAACCAACAAGTTTGCACACTGACAGAGTATTTCAATAGGGTTATGGGGCAAAATGCTTCTCTGTAGGTACTGCAGCTGACATCTAGCTAAGTCATTTTTAAGCTTAAGAAATTCAGCTAGTTGGTGTACAGCCAGCTGATACTTTTACTGAGAAGTTATGTGCCTATTACTCAGTTACACATTATTACCAACTAGCAGTTGGTTTTAACCATCATTCTGCATACACGCACAAGGAGAAGGTCCCTCATATGGTAAAGTTTTTCTACTAAATTAACCAGTCAAGATTCCTACTTCAGTTTTGCTTTTCCATCCATCCATATCTACCTTCAAACCTGATGAATGACAAAGATAACAAAATGCTGCGCTAAGAAGCACTTCATTCTGCTTTGCTTTGCTTTACAAAGGACATAATTCATAACGACATCACTACAATAGTGACTCATCCTTAACAGCCAGTAACTGTTGCTCAGTCAGTAAGTTTCATTAGTAAAGGATTTCAAAAGGTATGTTTGGGTATAAGAATTTTAAAATGTCACTTAGTGTTTTTCTATTAATTTACAACATGTTCAGTTTGAGTATTTTTATACTTACTGCTTTCTCTTTTTTCTTTTTGTCATCTTCTTTCTTCTTTTTACTTTCTGGCATAAGATCGTCAAGCCAGCTAAGCTCTCTTTTGGTAAAACATAAATCCATGAGCTTGCGAATGAACACTAGCGCTAAAACCTTAAGAGAACCATAAAAGGAATCACTGATATTAAACCATTGAAATAAATATTATCACACGCTTTCAGTACATTCAGTGTTCTTAACCATAGCTTTTTCTCCTAGTACCAGTTTTATCTTACTGCCAAGTTAGATCGTTTCCCCTTTTGTAGCTTTTCACATCTGAATTGCTTTCTTTCAGGAGTTCTCATGTTTCAGAAGTGAACAGCTACTGAAGTTTATGTCTTTTTCAGTCCCTTCCCTCATAAGGTAGCAAACACATTCTGAAGAGATGTTGGATGATGCACACACTCTTGGCAAATGATTAACTTGTAGAACAAATCACTTACCATCATAGGGAAAACAACAGCAGCTGCAGAGGCTTTAATCACCCACAAAAGAACGAGACAAGTGAGCTGAATAACTGTAAAGATATGGACCTTCCAGAGTGGTACGTAACGCAGATATATCAGGTCAGGTTGATGCTTGGCAGGCATTCCAAACAATTTTATACGGTCAAAAAACTGCAGTGAAATATAAAAACATCCTTCAGTTAATGATTTTCTTCCTCTCCAGAAGGAAATATTTAAATAAAACAACATTTTTATGAAACTCTAAAAACAAATTAATCCTAATTAAAATACTAGCAAAGATCCATGTGAATTCAAGGAGTTGGGCTCTCTAGTGTTAGCGTTCCTTTCAAACATTACTAGTACAACTTCTTAGAATATTTCAGAAAATTGACTATTCAGCTACACTACTGAAGCAAAATAAGTAAAGACAGTGGTAAGAACAAACACTGAATGTGATACCGCAGAAATTATCCTACATCCTACTCAGACAACATTGGTTAACTTCATTGATTCTGATGTAAAATAACATTTTACATTTCTCTTTTCATTTAAACAAATGCAAGTTGTTCAACAAAGTCAGATTTTACCTGAATGCCTTTTAATGAAGACACTCCCATGTAAAGAAAGACACCATACAAAACTGGCATTGGAATAAACTGCAGACAAAAACAATACCAACAGAGTTACTTGTAGAATGAACATGATACAACTTAGCAGTTGATACTAGTGAAAGAAGTGAACCAAATTATCTTAATTCCTATTTTACTTATGTGAAAATCTACAAATGTTAATGCTCTATTTATAGAAGGAATAAATGCAGCATTGAAAAGCAAAAATAGCTGGGAGCTGCAGAAGGACCTGTGTCATCTTCCTAGAGCTAATATGGCTGTCATCAGGATTAAAAAACTAGTTCAGTCTTGACTGCCCGTGGATTACATTTTCTAGGTTGCAACCAGTGTTTCTATTAATACTAACAATATTGGTTTATGTTTCTATTTGACAGGAACTATACTGGGACAACCAACTTCAGGGAAACTATCATATGAAGTTTAACTTTTTTCCTCACTAACACAGTATTTCCAGAGCACATGAAACAATATGAAACCACAACTATTAATTTTTTCAGGGCTAAGTTTGCAGTAAAATCAATTTAAAACTTATTAAGATAATGAAGCTGTCCACCGATTCCGGTAGCACCTGCATCAAACATGTGCAGCCTACACAAAGCAAATGAAGCCTACTTTGCTACCAAATTGATTGAAATTCTGAGTAAAGACATCTTAATACAAACTGCTGCCATCAAGCCTGAACAAAAGCCTTCATTGGAACTTAAAATAGCGTGGAATAAAACTACGCCTTAGGGATTAATTACTGTCTGTACATGTATTAGATGGCTTCTTTACCATGTGCTACGTAATTTGACATGCTAATACTTCATTAGCATTAACTTCTACTGAATTAAGTCAGCATACATTCACACATGAAACAAAAGCACAGAGTTTGCAGTTCAAGGTATTGTCTTCCTTTCTTCTTTTAAACAATTACAGTCACTCACAGTGAAAAAGAAAAGTATTTCACAGAATGAATTGCAGTAATCCCATTCATATTACCCTTGATCCCATAACAAATGCAGGTTTTGCTTTCCAAGAATCAGCTGCTAAAAAGAGGGATAAACACCAGGGTTCAGCAATCAGCATCTTCAGCTTTTGAGCAATAATAAATTCATTTTAGTATTCCTGATTTTGATTCTGATAGTCCGTTATACAGCTCAGCTCCTGGTGGCTTTTCTACCAGAGATTGTTTGATCTAAATATTTGTTTATATATATCACCTTATTGTTTTCAAATCCCTAACGTCCTCAACAAACGGCCAGCTATTTTATATATATGTTATATATTTATATAATTACTAATAATAATTTGTAATTAGAATTACTGAATTATGGCTGTATGTTCACAGGTTTATCTTCTACTGTGACCTTTTCTTGCACAGCTTAGAAGCTATCTGAGAACTGAGATGTGATCTCTCTTTGAAGAGACTTTTACGAAGTTCTTTGAAGATATTAGCAATTATGCACTTCATGGCATAACTACTACTTTGTCATTTAAAAGTCAATTGTGGGTGTTTTTTTTTAAATTTATTTCTCTCTCCTAACTGCTGGAGTTCATGCAATGGAAGCTCACTGAACTAGCAGAAATTTAGAGAAAGTGAAATTTAGAGGCCCTAATGTGACTCGCAAAATCTCTATTTCACCTCCATTTCACAACACTCTGAAAGAGAATCTTTATATTTCAGACCTCAAAAGCAGCTTAGAAAGGTAAAAAAGAAAGAAAAGTAGACAATGTCATTCCTGATTATTACTTTTCGAACTCGATTTCTGTCTGCTTCGCTGGCCACATTATATTACTTCTGCACAAGTAACTTTAACACACTCCTTTTTTCCCTCTGTTTATATATTCACATAAGAATTATAGAACTATTCTGGGTAACAGATTTGGGAATCTAAAAAAACAACAACAACAAAAAAAAAAAAAACAACAACAACAAAAAAAAAAAAAAAAAAAAACCACCTAGCAAGAAAATCATGCAACACAGACAAAGGTTGCTTTCTTCTCTACTCACTATACTTTTAGCTTGTTCAGTTTTCCCACACCTCCCTCCACTGGTTGTTTCCATTCAACCAGCACCAAAAACATAGTTTGATAATGGATCTAAACATGTATTACTTCATTTAAGAAGACGCATTGACATTACAAAATATTATATCCCACTAAGAAAATAAAAAGCACAAAGAAAATCCAAGTGTTTTGGTAAAACTTCTACCTTTAACACAGAGGTCATGAACACTGACAGCCCCATCAGGACAAAAATCATCAATCCTGTCACTCGCTGCTCCCGGATTCCCAAAAACTTTGGTTGCTCTCCTGGTGCAGAACACTCAGATTCAACTTTCAGGCTGTTAACATGACTTATAGACAGGACAGTTGCTGCGACAAACCAAGGTAAGCCCATTATGGAACATACTCCCAACATAATGCCAACCATGAACAGATCAAGATGATAACCACAGCCTTTCTGTGAAATCAAGCAAAGAAATGAATTATTCAATAAACTTTCTATTTATATGACACGAGATTTATCACTTACTTGGTAAATAACATTCATATGGAAGTTACAGATTTTTAAAGTGCCTGCAAAATTACAGTCACTCCATATTAGTCAATATACCCATCTATTTAGTAGCTGCTTATTTTGCAGACTCAGAATGGATCTGATTTAAAATAAACATGACTTATACAAAACTACAGGTTTGTGAAAATGAATAGACTTTCACCTTCAGCTTATGCTCTTTTCTGTTTATAATAACAGCTGTTATTTGCTGATCCATGAAAATCAGAATGGTACAGAGTAAAGCAGGAACAGCAGCTACCAGGAGCGTCCACCAAGGATTGCCTCCAAGAGGGTCTATGAACCATCCTCGGTCCTTATGTGTGGGCTGGAAAAAATAAACAAATACTCACTAAAACAAAGTAAAGATTTCATTGCTACACACATTACCTGCAGTGAACATGTAAACAGTCTCTTAAATAAGAGCTTTGATTTTTTTTTTCCCCCCAGTAGCTTTGACCTAAAGACTGACTCACTGCTAAATATGAATGTGATATGGAAAAAAATTGAACATTCATTCCATTTCTTTATTTCTGCATGTTTGCAGTAAAGACTACATACATTTCCTTAATACTACTGCACGAAGCAATGTTTTGCCAGTTATTCAGAACTGAACATTCACACTATTCAGAACAAAAAGGGGAGATTACTTTAACTACAGTGCAAGTCAAAAAGTTAAATTCCTGTTTTTATTTAATACTACTGTTCTACTGTCTATGAAGCTGCAAGCACTTAAAAGGCATTTTTTTAAAAAAGGCTTTATTTCTTACTTCAAATTTCTCTGGAACGTGAAGCTTAGGAGATGGCACTCCTACTAGATAGTCAATCAAAACCATGATTACAATCGTCAGAAATACTGCAAAGTCACTGATGGTAGAACGCACCTATAAAGAGAAAAACCTGTGTCAACTCTTGTTGTTTCATCATTATAATTCATATCAGCAGAAAGAAAATCTACTTCCCTATAAATAGTGAAGTGTAGTGAATAGTGAAGTGAAAAGTGTAGTGAAGAATAGTGAATACATCACTGAACATCACATGCATTTTATTTTTATGTTTAAATTTAAGCTGCCTGCCAGCATACCATCAAGTTGAGTATTCTGTACAATAGTTCATCTGATAATCCCATTTAAAGTTATCTAGTACAAAAAGCAGATTGCTTCACATTAACTTCTTCCTCATTTTTCTGTCCTTTTAGCCTGGCTGAGAGGAGGGGTCAGCACAACTACTCTCCTGGCGCTTAATTTAGTAAAACCACTAAATTGTGCAGAAATCAATAATAATACAGCTGATGTTCAATTTGTAGAGGAAAGATATTTTTTAACAAATTCAGGTTATTGAAGGTGACTTTGTTAAGAATTAGGAACACTCGGTAGGTACAAGGTGAGGTCCAGAGAAGATCTACCCACTTTATTTTGCCTAGTAGAAATATATTACATAAATTGGCCCAAGGACTATCGTTATACTGCCTTCTATTAGAAACAGTAATCCCCCTCAGGAACAACTCAACACACTTCAGACATCATCACGCTGGAGAAAGCAACCAATTATTCTACGCTACTAGGCAAAGGAACCAGGAAAATAATCCCTCCAGATGCCACTAGCCATTAGTACGAAACACAGACTTGCTCAGATATTCTTATACCCCAAACATCTTGTTCCAATGGCAAGAAAGAATACTAAGTACTGAATTTGTAGCAGTTGATTTCTTTAATATCTTAATTTTTTGAATTTAAAGGAAGTGTTGCTTACCACTTCCTTTTCTAACTTAGAGGAAATACAGTTAAAGTTACATTCTCAAAACAAAGTTCTGAAGCAAAACAAATTCAACCCTACTAAGCCATATTAATGTATTCTATACTAATATATTTACCACAAAGTCACAGTCATCTCTAATTGAAATTACCTTAGTTGGGAAATAGCGTTTGGTCTTGAACTGCTTAAGGAAAGAGGAGAGGAAAAACGTTGTAAAGAATAATATGACGGACCAAAAGAGAACATCTGGAATATATGGTCCATGATGGCCACAAGCAGATCCTTGAAACACACCATGAAATTCTATACATTCCTGCAAAGAGAGAAAAATCCTTCAATTTCTAAATTTTTAGTCATTTAATATACTCAAACTTGTAACCTACTAATAGCAAATACATTTAAAAACCTTCTTTTGGAGATCTGGCAATTCTTTCCTCCATCAGTAACTCAGCCTGAAACGCCCAAAAAAGCTGTCTGTTCCAGAAGAGTCATGGTAGCAATTATTCATCTTTTTCAGGATCTCAAAAAGCCCCAAATAACTTTTTTTTTTTTTTAAATCACATTCACCTAATTTCTATTCTGTTCTCAATGCATCAAAAGACTGAACACGTAAATTAAGGCTGAGAACTATGTTCAGGAAAAGCAGACTATTCACTTTCAACTTTCAACTTGCTGAACATAAAAATGAGATGTCCTCAGTTTCACCTCTATTCTCGAGTTTTATACTGATATGATTAAAGCAAAAATGGATTCTTAGAAAATTAGATTAATCCAAATGACAAAAAAAATCTAATGTAGCGGAAAAATATTTTAAGTAACAGAACTGAGTAAAAAAGAAAGAGTCAAATCATCCTTATCTAAAAGGCTCACTGAAAGGAAAAGGGAAGCAGACACAGGGCACAAGGAAAGATGAAGCCAACAAAGCTGGAAGTAATATTTCAACAGCCTAGTTTTTAAACAGGCTTATGAAAATAAGTAAGTTATAGCTATGTAAAAAATTATCCCAACTCAGAACTGAACTTAATTATAAGCGCCACAAAATTTTGGATCAGTTCTGCCTGAGAAAAATAAAATTGCTCAAGAGAAAGTAAAGTTACATAAAATAAATAACAGAATATAAAATAAGTTTTAAATACTACATTCATTGCCTTTTTGGGTAATTACAATAGATTAGGAGCAGACAGGTGACATGCAGAAAACAGAACAGGTAAAATTCTAGTATAACACTGAGGCTTTTAAAAGTATTTTTGCTGTGCAAAACACCTCCTAATTTCAGTGTAAGCCTCCAGATTCAGACACCAGCAGAGCCCATGTACAGATATTTACTGCCATTTTAAATATCTGGAGAAGGGTTAAGGAGGCACACACAGGTAGCAAATTCAACACTAAATCTGCAGCAAATGCAAATTATACTAAATGTAGGCGTAGACCAGATGCTAGGACACACAAAGTGGTTGTAAACATCTACGTTTAGGTGACTGATCACATGCAAGGGATTAACCAGATGTGGCTGCAAAATATCCAGCTCAGAAATTACTGCTTCCACGCTTATTCTTGCGAACATGTTTTCTTTTAACCTCCGATTGTCCAAAATATTATTTTCATCCCATCAAGTTTTAAGTAGTTTCTCACACACTTTTATACCTATGTCTATCATAATCTAAAGACGTGTACCTGCTAGTACATTCTAACTTCAATTTCTACCTTTGCACTTTCTTAAAAATATTTATCCATCCTTTACAGGAAATAAAAGGAAGTTATCTCCTGTTTATGCTCATCATATTCATCTGCACTTCAGGAAGAAGACTGCTCTGCCACCAGTATTCACGCGGCTATCTCAAGCAATCCCATTCAGCATACCAGTATTTACTGTCACAAAATCAATTATCCCAAACAGTACAATGACTGCTTAGCATTACGGGTGCAATAAAAGAACTGCAAACACAGTTTTAAATAAAACAATGCTATGAAAAAGTAATCAGATAAGAAATATTAATCAAGTATTAAGTGTTGTGAGATTTAGTTTTTTGTTTGTGTGTTATGTGTAAAAACAAAGAGACAGATACAGATATCTGCCTTTTAGATACTCACAGTTACTGTAAGGTTACTCCATGCAATAGTTTCCACAGATTTATTCATCTTCCCCCAAGCCTTCAAGGTTTCATTGCTGGGGTTCTGAGGCTCAGAACATACACATCTGAGGGCAAGGAAGGAAAGAAAAAAACAAACCAAATGATATGCTTATAAGTGCAGTCTCTTTTCAGCTGGGACAGAGTTCTTTCATACGGAGTGTCTGGTATGATGCTATGTTTTGGTTCAAGGAGAAAAACAATGTTGATGACACACTAACGCGTATAGTTGCTGCTAAGCAGTGCTGTACAGAGCCAAGGCCATTCACAGCAGAGCTGTGAGGGAATGGCCAGAAGGATATCCCTTATCATATAGCATCATGTGGAAAGTTTTCAAGGTGGGGGAGGGGAAAAAAAAAAAAAAAGGAAAAAAAAAGAAAAAAATGGGCCTCGACCAAAAAGACCTCGGGCCCCTTGAGAGCAGCACTGAGGATGGAGGATTCTGTACACCACACTTCCTATGCCCCACTGCAGGGTGCAGATTCAGTGCATAGAAAAATAAACTAGAAATACATTCATAGCCAGGGTTTATCCCAATATTGTATGAAAAAAGCAAAGTACAAGTGTCCTCCTACCATAAAATGAACTATGATTGCAAGTGGGGAGGTGGTGAAGAGATGCTGAGAGTCACAAAGAAGTCCACACGAGAGATTTTAAAGATAGGACAAAAAACTTGACATATATCTTTTAAAGAATTAGAAGAAATAAGATATTGACTAAAGACTAGCAGATGAGTTGTTAAAACAGACTAACACCTGAAAACAAAGTGAGTATACTTTATTCACGTACTGTGAAAGTGTTATCATTTGGATTTTTTATTTTATTTCATTCATCGGATGAATGAAATAAATGAAGCAGTGAAGCAGTATGTGAAATAAGACAAAAATTCAAATATCACCTTGTAACAACTTGGGTTCAAAATACACCATTATCTGACAGTTAACTATGCATTGATGAGGAATCAAAGAACAGCTTTGACCAATTTGGTTTTAACTATGTGAACTGTGCAGATTTTTCACCATTAATGGGTAGCAGTCTCTCCTGTCAAGTGTAAGCTCTCAATTCAGTTTAATGCATTTCATGAAAGCATGTCCTAAGCTTGAAAAATGTACACTGAATTGCAAAGGAAAGCTGCAGATCATCAAAAAATAAAAAAACACTGAACATGGTATGACAGACACTTAATGCTGATTTGACGGTTTAAGTGAACTACTCTAACTCAGAAACAGAACAGCCATACATTGAAAAGTAGATAAGATGCACAACTTCTACATCAAGCAAATATGAGAAAAGGTACATGTAAATAGCTTGCTTACTGCATTCCTTAAATGAATTGATAGTTTTACTGCTAATTATTAAGATGAAAAGAAACAGTAACTCTACTAAGGCAGGATATTTTTTAGAAGTGGTTATATATTTTTTTTTCTTTTATTAGAGAGTGGAGAAAAATAGAAAAAGAAATTCTAAAGAAGTCAAATATCCCTCATAATTGCAATAGAAAGCAACAGTGCTTAAATATGTTAAGTCCTCATTTTAGCACAGCTCCATGCCTCTGCTGCCCAGAAATAATCCCCACCCAGGTGAGGGAAGCCACCACAATTTCCTGAAGTGCCAAGGCAAAGCTCCCGTCTAGCTAATGGAACGTAAGCTGACCTTTAATCAAGCTGCAGATAAATCAGGCATTGTCACCACCCCTCATCCCTTTAAACCACACATAGCTAACAGAAATTTCAATTCCACAGCACCCTGAATAGAATTTTTCAGAGATTTCTCATGCTCCTGCCACCCCCAGCATTCCTCCTGCCCTACCACTAAGAGGCACACACTGCAGTTTCATAAATGATCTGCCACTATACAATACACATTTTCCTTATGCACTGCACTAACAGATATGAACTTGATACTTACGAATATAAAGTCAGTCTATCCAAATTATTGTGCATATTGAAGGCATACACTTCTCCCAAATGAAAAAGCTTTTCCAATGCCTCATAAATAAATATGATGCATATAAGTGCTGCAAAAGCTTCCTCAGTGAATCGAGTGATGTAACAGACAAGGCTGCTGGCATCTGTTGCTACAAGCACTATGCATAAAAATGCAGTCCACAGACCAATGCTAGTTCGTAGGGAGAGGTAGGAAAGCCCATAATCCCTGTATAAAAGAAATCAAAATAATTAACTGAGTCTAAAATCATTTATTATCATATTCTATTTGAAAATGGATACTGAGGACAAGTTCTGCAGGTGTTCACAACTTTACTCATCCCTGACTCTAGTTTTGAAGAAAGTGGAAACTTTTATCTTCCTCTGGTACAGAACAACACCACAAAGTATCTCTAGGACTGAGGGTTGTACTGCCTTTCCCAGGAAGCATCATGAGGATGTTCTGTCCAGAATAATTTGGATAGTTCTTCACCAAGGGAAGATCAATCCCTGTCCACCCCTGCAGAATCAAAGCCAGCATCCCCACATAAAAGAAGAAAAGTAAGTTCTAAGTCCCACCCAGTTCACCACTGGCTTTCCCACCAGCTAAGTGCTTCAGAGCTTTGCCAAACCACATGCACAGCGCAGTTTCTTGCTGCTGCCTTGATATCTTCATGGTCATCTACTTTCAAAATATATGTTTTCAGTTACAGTTATCTTACAGTCTCTTAGGTTACACCGTTCATCTGGCTATGTCACTACTTACCTGCAAAATTTAAATAATATTTTTTCAAATACTAGAACTGGTCCGGTACTCCCCAAAATAGTAAGAGGTTGCCCAGCAAAGAGAGAATAGGCAATCCCAGTTAACGAGGCTCCAAAGAGGGATTCTATTGCACTCTGTTCAGGGGAAAAGAAACCACTTTGACTATGCTGCCTTTCAGGTTAGCACGTAGCATCACATCTGCATAAATACATTTTTAAGATGCGTTTACATAGAAACAAGACAAGATGTAAAAATATTACAATTAATATTAATGTTTGAGACACTGTTAGCACTGTTTTGCGGTAACAATACCAAGGACAAAAGGTTTGGAAAGCTTTGCTCTTGAGAATTATGAAGCCATCCAAAACCATGAGAACAAGTTATTAGTCCTGCTAACTACGGAGGAAAAACATACCAACAATTACTACCAATTGAAAAACAAAATTACTCAATACATAGCATACGGAAAAAGTTCTCTCTTCCTGTAAAAAAAAAAATATATATATATCTAAATATATAAACATATTACAACACACCTGTACTAAAACATGGCACAGTGTGCTGCATCAAGCTTGCATCAGTCAGCCAAGCATTACAAAACAAAACAACAAAACAAAAAGAATCGACAAGGTGGTGCAGGGGAAATTACTGAACAATACTCATTTTTGTATACATGACACCATAAATAGATGAGCTGTAAATCAATGTCCCACCTGGTAATGCATTTCTTTTAATCAAAGAAAGGTATGTATTTTAGTTCTTGATTTGCATGTTTTACTATAAATGTTTTTTTTAGAAGGAAATGTTATAATGTACCTCAAGAGAAAGACTGGGCTTTCTAGAACCTAAAATGATGTTGTTGTAAAATATCTAAATATACCACTTAGAACTATGAAAATTAATACATCACAAATTATGGGGTTTGCTGTGGAATTTTCATGCATTTGCTACTTTGTAACACCATGAGCTTAAGAAAATAAAAATTATGCAAACTTGAGCCCCGTTCAGAAAAACATCTAAAACAGGTCAAAGGTGTTTGCTGAACTGGGGCTATTAAAAATAAAAAAGCATGCATCCTTTTTTCATTATGTAGAAATATATATACATATATATATATATAAATACAATCTCTTATTTAGCTATTGCCTTTCAACTACTGCTTTTGGCATAGTCAATGCATTAACCTGGGGGCTGTCAATCAAGGTGGCAGGGACAGGAATACTGTGGAGGTGATGACCTCTGGGAATGTGAGGAAAAGTTTCAAACACAAACTGTGTACCTTACAGTGTCAGCTACAGTGCTTGAACATGTGTGTGCAGTAACTAAGTTTTATATTCAATGATGCACACCAAGAATCTGAAGGCAGGAACAAACCCGCAAACAATTCCAGATAGCTAAAAGAAAGAAGGTATTTAAGAATCAAGCTTTAAAAGGAGAATATTTTCACAATTATATGGGGTACATTCATAAATTACATCAACATTTAGATAATCACAAGAAAACCCATCCCTACATTTACAGTGGCAGAAATAACAAATGCAGAAGTAAATCACATTTTTTCCGTGCACTATCAGCTTGAAGAAATACATCAATAAACAAATACTCAAGTCAGCTACATTACTTGAAATTGATAAAGGTTAACTAAATTTTAATTGAGTACATGTTTAAAATTTGGTCTAAGTATCACAAAGAATTTTATAGTATTGTAAACTTTACCAGAATTTTAAGTTTGTAAAGGGACAATTCTGAATTTACCCTTTCCTTTCCCCAAAAGGACAGAGCCTTATTTCTTTGCAATAGATTTAGAAACACAAAATACACTTCAGACTAGTTTACTCACACGTCATTTAACACAAACTATAAGTTATTAACGTTGCTGATAGGAGTACTCCTTCCTCACTCCAAAACCTAAAGTGCAACCAAACATTTTGGTTAAAAAAGTGTTGGTGTTACACACTGCCAGTGTAGCAGTACCAGAAGTTTATGGATAATATCCACGTTACTTTCAGAGAAGAGTATTTTCGGCTCTTAAAACTTATCTCTTTTTTATTTTTATTGATAACACACCACTAGTGAAAGTAAACACATATCCTGTCCATTGTTTAAATATACAGAATTGACTGCTACCCGTAACCCTGTAGGCATTATCATCCTCATAGGCCTACTACTCAAGGCCAGTACATATTCTTGACTACCCACCTTGAGCCTCTGACTTTGCCTAAAGTAGGCCTAGTGGGATGGTGCACCTTTACTGCTATTCGTTCATTTTATTGAAGTAGCCAAAAAGAAGGCAATGCCCTTTCTCAATTCATGAAGATACTCTCCAATAAGGCAGGATAAACATTTTTAAATTTAATTTTATAATTTTATTTTTACCTCCACTGTGCATCTTCTCCTGTTCACATGGGTTCCCCACATTTTCCACAGCAATTACCTTTTGGGGAAGATCTGCTTTGGGGCAGGCTAATCAAGTGCTGTGGGTAAATTCTTCAAATACAAATATAAATAAACGAGACAAATGCACACAGTGACTTGCCTCTGAAGGTTTAAAAGCCTGGCCACTACCATTTTTTTTGTACTCACTATTCTGCCTTGTGTAGCTTCTCCCAGGAGCCCTCCAAAAGTGATTACAGGAGACATACAGGCACAGTATAGGAAAAGAATCGAGGCCAGGCACTGCAGGCTTAATGCATCCTTGAAGTCACTCAAGAAAAAAGGTGCTTTCCTTTGGATGTCAAGTATCAAACCACCAAAAAGCCTAAATAGGTGAGATGAAACTCGTCAAACTGTACACTAAAGGATTCTAGCTAGTTCAAAACTAAGGGCTACACAAAACTGCCAGTGCTTACTGCCAGCACAAATTAGCTATTTCATTATCCAGATTAAATCATAACACAGTTTAAATATACACGATAATCTTATCTATTCCAATTCAGTATTTTTCCAAAATATAATCGAACAGATCATCCACATTTATAAAAGCTGGCTAGATATGCATATAATGGGCTAGATACTGAAAAGATACCTGTACAAATACATTTACCTAAGTAATGTTTAAAGGTAAACCTGATTTATGATACTCAGAACAAGAAACAAGAGTTATATGCTAAACCTCAACCAAGACCACCACATTGATAATTATGTTTCCATATCAATATTCCAATTGGTAGCTGTAGCTCTGTTTTTGATCCAAATTCTGTACATGGGTATGGTTAAGTCCGTAAAGATAATAAACCTGAATTTATTTAACAGCGAAAAATTTGGGTTATGGAGATATTTCTAAATGGTACAAACACGAAAACAAATATATATTCATCAGTTGAACTGAGAAAGTTATTACCAAGAAATCAAAATGCATTTTGCTTTTTTTTTTTATTTCAAGAATATAATATTAAGTAAAAATTGTATCTGCAAAAAAAAAAAAAAAAAAAAACCTGCATTTATTGTTGTACGAATTCTATTTTTTTTTAAAGACTTTTGTAATACATAATAGTTTTAACTAGAGATAACAGTGGGTAGAAATCATTCAGCTCCATATACTGTGTTAAAAAGGAAAGAAATGAGTATAATGAAGCCAAAATGGTTTCTCTTGCAGAAGTATGAGAAAGGTGCAAATCACTTGGATGTTTATCATTTTGAAGATAAAAACTCTTTACATCTTTTCCAGATCTTTTCAGTTAGTATAATTACTTGTATGACATGAAGCGTAATCTTATCCAGATACATTTCCAATGTTTTAGAGTTTTTTGGGAAGTATTGCAGAACTGATAGAGAACAATAGTACAACTCAACTCAAAAATTCCTTCCATTTTATTTCAGATTTAAAAGAAACCTAACCAAAACTGTTTTTGTTTTTTTTTCCACCACTTTGTATTCCTTGTTGTTTGGCTTCATACATGTTCAATAAAACTGGTTTGCATTAATGGAAATTTTTAGTAGCTAGCCCAATATTGAAAATTGTACATTCCTACTATAATTATAATAATTGCATGCTCTTGATAATTTTAAATTAAAAATCAATACTTAAAATTCAGTTAAATTAGGCAGCATCTTATATAAAATCCTTCACAAATGTGTTGAGAAACATTGCCACAGGCTTGAAAATGCTTCAAGCAGATTTCCATTTACAGGCAAGAACCCAACACTTGAAAAGGAAAATGGATGCGTACTGTATTTTTTTCTGTTCAAATCTCATCATTAAAGTCTGTGAAGATTTATCACATCTATCTTTTTGTGGTAGCTAGTATTTAGGGAAGAGAACACACCTTCCAGTTCTCTCAAGTTCAGGTCCAGCATGATGACCTTCTTCTTTGAGAGTCTCTCCTGTAGGGGTAGATCCATTTGGAAACTTAGGTATCTTCCTTTTCTCCTATAACAACAAAACCCAACACAAACACATTTTGAAAAGATTGCTTTTGAACTAAAAACAATTTGAGTGTTGAGAAACTCCACATCTTCCAAACCTTTTCCATATCCCCTGCTGATCATCACTTTTTCATTTGCCAAACCCATTATTTATTAAATACAGATGAACAGAGATGTACAAGGCTCCCAAAAAGATCTTATTAGTGGCTTGCACAATGGTGTAAAATTTCCCTTTCTACAAGAATTATCTCCCCTGAGATATGATGAAACAAAGTCCGCCTTTTCAGAACACAGTAAAGGCTCAACAATGTGGCCTAGAAATCAAAGTTGTTGTTTTTCCCTCAGTCATTTCCAGAGCAGTAGCCTCCAGCTAGTATCAGAAACTGACCTCAGTTTATAACAAATACAGTATTTAGTGAAGTATAAATGAGAAGTCATTCTTCTGTTCAGCAAGCTCCTCATATGTTTCTTAGCCGATCTTGCATTCCAAAAAACAATTTAAAAAAAAAAAAAAAAAAAACATAACCCTTTGTATCTTTTGTTTTGGTTTTTTTGGGGCTTTTTTTTTTTTTTTGGAAATACATGGTAGGCCTGCACTACTCATGAAATAAACTGTATTGCTGCTTCATTTCACTGACTCTTCAGATTGCAGTTGAACACCAGCATCAGCCTTCTGATTAAGAGCATCAGTCTTCTGCCCTACTTTTGATCCCTGCAGAGTTGTAGACAATAAGAAAGTTGTAGACAGTAAGAAGCCACGGCTCCCTAAGTCAACACCTCTCCACTGCTCTCAATTCTAAGCCTTGTGGCTCTTGACCTACATTTATCTATACCATAAACATTCAGTAAACATTATTTGTTAGCTGATAAACATTAAGATTTATTTTCAATCCATGGTGAACATGCAAATAAAGTTTTTATAACAATTACAATATTCTTACTGATCACTGTTAGGTTAATAATAAAATTTATAGTATGAACACAGGTACAATGTTACAACTCTTCTTTCACCTCAGAATCTCATTTTGCTATTTCAAAAGGAAATAGATTAAATACAATTTTCTTAAAAACAAAGCAGGAAACTGATCCAATACTTTTTTCATAAATGAACAAATGATCTACTTTTTCTCACAAATTGCTGACAGCCTTCTTGATACTTTACTGACATTAACACTCAGTGAACAATTAACTTGCATTTTGGAAACACATGGAGGCTTCCTGCTAGATTTTTTCCATTTATTTACCTGGGAAGGAACACTTTTTGGTGGTTCAATTCGTATAGATGGATCCCATTCTCCTGGAGGTAGTACTGTCACTTGGTCTAAAAATTCATCAATTCCTGATAATAAATCATTTCTGTCTTTAGCTTTATAGGCAACATCATGGAAAACCTACAAAGAGAAAGCACCCAACAATGATTTTTTATTCCTTTAAATTTTTGAATGAGGAAAAGATTATAAGGAACACTTGATTATTTTTAAAAAAGCACGGGAATTTCTAAAAGGTCCTCAGTAGTAAGACTTGTGTACTTTTACACTAGAGACAATGCATATGCAAACATTTATAGATCATAAAATAAGGCTGTTTCATCAACAAGAAAAACTAACAACAGAAAGCTGTAAACAAGCTTTAAACAGAAACAATTTTTTTCTTGAGAAATTTTGTTTGCCCCCCCTCCTGCTCAATCCAACCTTATAAACCTCTGAAGAGGCACAGGTAGTCAATCTTCTTACTGTTCAAAATAAATAAATAAATAAATAACCAAACCCCACCTAAGCTATACTGTTTCACAGGCCACTACAACACAAACTCTACGTTTTACACACAGGAAAAAAAAAAAAAAAAAACATGCTAGTTTTGCTATTAAAGACCATTTGCAGAATATGATCCTAAATTGCATCTGCACATACTGAAGCCTGAACTATTAATCTCCAAAGACCTAACCATTAATATTTCCAACAATAAATTAGATAAATTAAAGCCTGTTTAGGTTTTATGTCTTTTTTAGCCACTATTTTTTCAGTGATCTACAATATTCCTGAAAATCAGGCCACCTAAAAATTAGAATCTGCAATTAAAGCCTGCTGAACGAACACTGTATCACAGATCAGTTGACCACTGTAAAATGACCAGTCTCGTTCACATTTCCAAACTTATAAGAGTGAAGAATTATTAGGATATTTAGCTTTAGTATTTCTAAATTCAGTAGATGGCGCTCAATACAAGATGAGAATTAAAACATCCTAATTTTGCTCAGTAAAATGACCATAGTTAAGTCACTGTGCACTTCAAAACTGCCCATCAGGGCTCTAAGAATATCGCTACGAATTCCCAGTAAAATTCCCACATTAATTATTCAATCCTACTTTGATAGAAAATACCTGTTATGACTCAAATGAATGCACTCCTAAATTTCGTCTTAAACACTCATGTAGTTTGGTGTCACTTTTGATAACAGCACTCTTAGCAGATGCAGCTCTATTTAATAACTTTATCCCCCAATATGAAAATACATTAATGAAACCTAAGATAGCTTTTCTGAAATACATTATGCAATTCCACAAGAAAAGCAGGAAAAACATTTTACTACCATTTAATTCACTAACACAAGAAAAGTTTTTACTATTCTTCATTTAGACAGAATGATTCCCTTTCTTTAGCATGCCACTCCCTAAAACATTTATTAACAAATCAGTAAATGCAGCATTTGAGTCTTTAACTACAGATGTTTAAAATACATCACCCACATCATCTGTCATAAGTGTTGCTATTGATCTTCCAATTTCATGATACTGTGGAGCTTTTCCTGCTGGTCCCAGCAATAAAAACAAAAACCTGTGAAGAAATCAGCCAACAAGATTTGGGATTACTCATGTGAATGTATTTAGAGGCCTCTTTCAAACTAATGTTTCAAGAAAATCTGCTGGTCTTCATTACCATTTCAGATCTCACACACTGCCACAAAACTAAGAAAAGACTTCAAAGTCAACACTGGAAAAAATTACTTTGAAATCTTAATTAGATAAAATTTTTCAACTTCTTACAACAAATGAATAAATATATAATAAATAAGTATCCATTTGTTGTAAGAGATTGAATATACGTATTTATTGTAAGAAGCTGAATATATATATATATATATATATATAAAAAAACACACCAATTTTTTTTTTTTAATATATAAACACAAATATATACAAATATTTTATTATAAAAAAAAAAAAAAAAAAAAAAAAAGAAAAAACAGAGTAAAAATCCACAGGCTGCAATGCAATGAGTATTTCTTCTGCCATTCTCACTGGCCAAGAGCCCACAGTCAGGGCCTCAGAGCTTTAGGACCTGTTCTCAGTTTTGCGATGACCGCTCCTAAATGGGAGTCAAACCCCTCTCAATTTCTGACAATACACAGATGTATTTCAACAAGCAACACATTGTATTACAACATGTATTTCTAAGCAACACATCAGACATACTTATAGTCATATCCTGCGTCAGCAGAAGGGAAGGGATTCTACATTTTGGACTACTTTTAGTTAAAAAGGTGAAACTGACATTTTAGGAGGGAAAACAATTTTCCCATGTCAAAAAAGTAGCACTTTCATTTCAAGGCACAACAAGCTCAATGTCATTTTTCTTGACTACGATAACCAAAATTGAGATTGTATCTTCAGAATAAAATATGCTATTCCATATATGCCAGTCTGTAGAATTCTGAAAAATTTAAGACAGGAAAATTTTAGCTCCATTAGTACAATTAGTTTGAGTTTCCCAAGAAACATTGTGAGCTCTTTTGGTAACTACCATCTAGAAATTCTGACATGTTGAAGAAAACACTGCCAAGATTATTTTTGCCCACTGCTGTAGTATATATGCTGAAGACAATGAAGACAAACACACACTTTGGCAATTTTTTAAATAAGTAAATAAAACCCACATATTTACAGACTTTTGACAAACATCATAGTATGCAACAGTGCATCAATGTGTACAGAAAATGAAGTTATCTCCTCTAGGGCTGAGGTATGATCAAACAACCTGTTACAATGTTAAACATAAGTCTAGATTTTCAAAGCTGATAATCCGTGATTTTGTATGGATTCTACTCGAGATTTGAAATATTATTAACTTATACTACAAGTTAACTTATATAAAAAGTAAAGCCAGACTTTCCAGGCATTTATTTACCGTGTAGGTACCGGAACCTCTGTGAGGCCTGAGAGAAGCACAGCAGGAGAGAGCCTCACAAAAGCAATAATTGGTCTTTCTAAAAAATCTACTTCTCCCACTAACACATTTGATGCTTCTGCTCCTGAAGGAATTTTCCTCATGAAGTTCATATCAACCTAGTCATGTGAAAATGAAACAAGTGCATTTGTTAACATAAACTCTATAACATAAAATTTTTGCTTATCAGTTATTTACTAGACATAAAAACTACAAAGAAAAATACAAAAGCAAAATAAATACTCCAAAATACAGAAAAGACAGACATAGGCATAAAATATCAGCCTACCAATCACTAACAATAAATTATTTTGTGTAAGGTACGATTACTACTTCCTACTATATTCTAAAAGACTCCAGACTGCATATCATCTTTCTAAGATTATCAAGACAGACATCTGTGATAGGACATACTTAATTTAAGCATAATTAGCTAAGGAGAGTTCATGTAATTACTCATGGTTTCTGGAATGCAGTTAGTTATTTCACAGTTGTGTATTTCAAATATATTAGGAAGTTGTAATTTTGAAAAAGAATTTGTATATTTACATCTCATCCATGAAGAATGACAGGTTGAGAGATCTAAGCTTTGCTTCTGCACATAATTTCAGAAAAGCACATGAACTCGGTCCACACACATACATGCACAAGCACCAATTACACTGCTATCTAGAGAACTTACAGATGGCCTCTTGAGTCCCACACCAAGTGTGCCACAACTACAGTGCCAGGAGACTGACTCCTGCCCAACAGGAGACAAGGCAGGTGTACAGAAGGACAGGCCAAGCAAAAACACAAAAACTGTGACAGAGAAGCAGGAATAAATGGCACCTGCTATCATCAGATGAGAACTATGGTGCAAGTTCCTTTTGTTAAGCATAATTATTTAATGTGGAAAACCAATTTTCTTAGTGTTACACAATGCAGATGACACTACAGACTAACTTTTACAGTAATGCCCATAACGCACCTTACCCAGCAAATTTTAATTATCAAAGAGGCATGAAATGAATTTAAAGTAGTACAAAAGATTTGATTCAGCATGTGATATTATAAACTCCTAGTGATTAAGATGAACAGTAACTTCTGTATAGCAAACTCAAACAAAGAATGAATCCCCTCTAAAAGCCACATGCTTGCCCCCAAATGAAAGCACCTAGGAGAACACACTTCCACATTGTCTATAAAACTGTTTTTATACACCTTTATAGCAGACTTGAAAAAGTCACCTTCTACATGAGATAGTATAGGAGGCTACACTTACTAAGTTACCAAAATATCAAAAAGTTCACCAACCACCAAACTAAAAGTTCAGTCCCATTGAGTTACAGAACATTTGACATATACAACATATGCCACATTCTGATACTACACACAACTTGTATGCAACTAAGACTGCAGTAAGAGCTAATGCAATTTTTGCTACATAGCTCTTGTGCTAAAAACAAAGGCATTTAATATGACTTACCTTACTAAAATCAACAGTGCTGTTTTCCCTGCTTCCACCTGTCCCAGTACCTTTAACATCTCCACTCTTCCCATTGTCCAAATTTCCAGGTGCTGACTGAGGAGATGCTAACAGCCCTAAGTTCAAATAAAGGAGATAAGTTCAAAATGGCATTGAAAGCGAACCAAGGATGCAACACATTAAAACTAAATGTGGCAGCTCACTTAAAGCAAATGTGCAAGTTATTCAGAGTGCTCTACATTAGTATCATAAATGCAACATTAACAATTCACTGTGCTCTCAAAGTAACAATATGATTAAAATAAATAAAAAGTAAATATTGCCTTAGACAATATGATGGCCATTTGTAGAGCCGCCATGAGAAAGTAAGAAAGATTCTGATTGTAGAAAAATCTAACAAATGTTGACATTTTAACTGTAACCACCCCAGTAGTTGTTAGACAGCATCTTCACTATATTTAGAAGACCTTGAATACCAAACAAACACCTGCTAACTATAACCTTGCTGTGTAGCAAGTATTTCAATTGTAAAAAGACTGGCAAGCCTCAGGCTACAAGAAGCAATACCCTGGTTGTAAAGTAAACCCGTACAAGCAAATAGCATACTACATACAAACCATGACTTTAATCAGCACAACAAAGCTCTTGGTATTAATCCAATCAGATGATTACTGTACTAAATTGTCTCTTCAGCATATTAGCTGAAGAGTCATGCACAGTGAAGATACTCAAGTTAAATGTACAACATCCCTCTGATTTCTACACCAAGACACAACAATTTTGCATGGCTTGCTAACGCTGAATTGCATGTTCAGTGAAAGGTGCAAAAAATAAAGTGATCCAAGTGTTCTAATATACTGACTTTCACGTTGCCCTATATAAGTAGCACTTAAACTGGTCTAAGGATGCATAACTAAACCTAAATCTTATTTTTTTATTTTTATTACAGAGTGTTCCTTTGTTCAGTTTAATGTGCATTAGAAGGGCATTTTGCATTAACTGTCTAAACTAGACCTTTTGGATGTGGTGTTAAGCTTGCTTTAACATGCTTCCAAAGCAACAACTAAACAAAGCCTAAAGCCTACAGCAGACAGTTTGTATTTAGATCAATCATCACTCCAGTCAAAATAAAACCAAAGTCCCCACTGGGTACCTTCTGGCTACTGTTCTACTCTAACTACTGCTGGAAATGCACAGTTGCTTCCCTCTGTGCTTACTATTTAGCAACTTGTTATTATTTAGCATTTCAAATCACAACTGAATTCATTTTATTAGTTCCCCAAATTTATTTCCAAAAAACTCTTTCAAAGTGCCATCATCAATCAAAATCATGCAGGTCCAAGCCTTAAGCTTCTATAGCTTATATGAGCTTAAGTGGTGTGGCCAGTTTGTCCTGAAGCAAAAAAGCAAATGAGGTTAATAAGCTGTAATTTCCTTTGTGAAATCTAACCATGCACAAGTAATGAGTTAACATTATAAATCCTATACTTAGTTAGTTCAACCGATAATAATCACTTTCTACCCTTCCACTCTGAGCTCAACATCTAAGCATGACTATTCCAACATAATTATGTCCATACAGACAACAGTTATTAAATAGAAAAGTTTTGAAGACAAAATTACATCACATTTCTCCTTGAAGAAATATTAGGTCTTTTTCTTTTTAAATTAAAATGCAGTAGGTGGAAAAAAAAAAAAAAAAAAGACATACTCCTACAAATCCAATATGGAAAAGCCTTCTGACTTATTTTCAGTTAGTAGACTTTTACGAAAGTTGTTCAGAACATTATTTTATATAGCTTTATAACACAATTAGTAGTGAATTAAGAGATCTCATGTAACAAGCTCCTTAGCTGTTACTCACAGGGATTACAATTCACTAACATTGTTAAACTTTTAAGTGATCATCTTTAGCTCTGAGACATTTGCCCTCCTAGCTCATCCTACAAAATCCATAATGCAACCATTTCAAAGTTTGAAAAAAATAAAGCTGTTCTTGAGAGATGACAAAAGAATTTTAAAGGGTATCTTTCTCCTGCTTCGTTTTATATAAACTAATGACTGCTTGATAGAAGCAAGTGGTAGTTTGAGAGTGTGTCCACCTTCCTGCCTTTTACAGTAAATCACATCAGTTTCAGAATTCTTCCAGCTATTTACAAAAGAGGAAGAGAAAACGAAAACTGAATAGCACAAGGACAGAAGAATGCTGAAAAGAATAAGCCATCTGTTAGCAAATTAAAACACTTCACTGAGAAGGCAAACTCAATCATCAAGATGTGGAAAAAGTATGCAAGCCGCAATATTCTGAATTACAGATCATGATCCCTAAATGAAATGGAACTCAGACAAGTGGGCTTTTCTGACAATAAAGATGACTTTTGCTTCAGAGTTCCCTTCTCACAAGACAGAGATTAGTTCAGTTACAGGCCTGCAATCACAGTCTGAGAATGTCTTCAAAAGCATCTGAAAGGAAGACGTCTTTCTGTGGTCAGACAATGTCAAATTAAAAACTGGGGGTGGGGAGAAAACCAACTGAAAACAAAATTGTATTCCATCATTATTGGTGTTCATCTTTCCCTGGAAAGACATTTACTTATGGACTAACTGGGAAAACACCCCTTTCAGATTTTTCCGATTATGAGAAACAACTCCTTGAGAGACAAAAGTAATCCGAATGTGACTTGGGAGATTCTGGTGGAAAGCTTTACTAGTGATAGTAATAGCACCAGTATTCAATCATTTGTTTGCCTTCTGTTGGATTCTTGAGATCTTGGGTCTGGCACTCCTGTCAGACAAGCAGAAAATAAGAGAACTGAAAACTAATTACAGCTGTTAATTATAAACCAGAAGTAAAGCATCTTAGAAAGGTCATTCATAAGAGAGGTTGGTCTTCACATGAATTATCTTTATTTTCCTTCATGGAGGCAGAGAGGGGTTTTAGTTCACTTTTCTGAATTGAAGTAAGGTTGGAGGTCTCTAATCAACTCAAGGTCATGGTCTGTAAAATAATCTACTCTTTTCATTCAAGCAGCTTGACTGCAAAATGTGAAAAGACAGATAACCACAGCCTTTTCTGTTAGCTTATTTTTACTGCTCTATGTAGCAGTGTGCTCTGTTTTACCTTGAAACTAATCCTAGTAAGGAGATGAACAGATAGAGTTGGAAGGGTAAAACATTAATCAATAAATAAAGGATACTTACACTAAATACATGCAAACAACAAAACAAATTGTATTTTTCAAATACAATCAAATACAGTGCACAGCAGCAGTTCAGGGGGAACTAAGGTCCAGTAATCTTTCAATCTAATTACTGAATAAGAAAGGAAGGAAAGCAAGAAAAACTTCTCTGATGAAAGACTTGGGTGGAATCAGCTGCTCTTGTTGTTTATTTTGAATACACATAGATACAAAGCAGAAAAACCTAAAAGCTCGATTATGGCAGGAAAGAAGTTCTGAAAGAAAAAATAAATGCAGCAGGAGCTTGAAGGCTAAAAAGCAAGATTGTCCCTTTAAAGAACAAGATTTATCCAGTAAGCAAGCCAGCTAATAAATTACTGAAATCTGACCTATGAATGTTCTGAACTACCTTACCTTACTGTTGCATATCAAACAACAAAATAATGTCTGATGTTGAAACACCTCAGTAATGGAAAGCTTCCTGGAAGCAGGTATAGATGCATTGAATCTGCCCATTCCATCAAACTGCTTTATAACTGTCCTGTTTTTTAGAAGTGCAAAAGTAAAAATAAGTCTGTTCAACAACTTCATAATAAAACTAATCTATAGATAAGATTGACTACTGATTCCTTCCTAATTGTTTTTATAGTCCTCACTAACACTTCACTAAGACTTCAGCTGTAGCTAGCTCTGAATATCAATCACTTGTGTAAAACATTACTTCATCCACTGACAAAAATATAATAAAAACAAAACCTGGCATGGACTCTAAGTGAATGATAGAAAAAGGCCAACATTTTTTTGCCATTTTGCTTGCATATTATGTTTTAAAATCTTATTCCTTTTCAACTATGCCAATGAAGGTTAAATAAATAATTTTTTTGCGAGCTTTTATTAAAAAGCTAAGAAGTTAGAAGTGCTGAACAAGAAAGCAGTCACAAGTGAGAAGAAATAAAACATGCAGGCAGAAGTAACCGTTATCACAATCCCTTGTGCCCAAGTTATGTGCCAAAAACATCACAATGCAGTGATCCTGATGCAGAAAGCATCACACGTGGATAGTTTAAATTTCGATAGTTGCCTGGTGTTTTGCCAAAATTCTCCTCTGTCTTCTCTTCCTGGCTTTCCTGCACTTCTAAGTCCTCCTCAGGTGGATGGATAATTACTGAAGGAATATCCTTGCCCTGAAGTGGACTTGGCTGGGCACTTGTGCTTGGTGGGTGGCTGCAGGTAGGACTGGAGGGTGGTGTATTTTGAGGGGTAGTTACAGGGGTTGTACACCTTGAGGTTGCCGGAGTTCCAGCTCTTGAAGAGGGAAGAAGGTAATTGAGAAGAACTGACAAACGGTTTTCTCCTCTCAGGGAAATATTTGAGGCAGAGAGACCTCTTCGCAAAGAGTGGCGGGAGGCTGAAAGGCCTTCCCCTGAGATAAAACAAATGAAACACCATGAGGCTTACAACAGGGACATACTAAATCAGAAACAAATATGGATTAACAATTTCCATAGTAAATTGCAAGTTTTATGGGCCAAAAGTGTCATACTCATGCAAGTGAGACAAGGTAAGAGCAGATCTGATTTTAGACATTAGAGAAGTCAGAAGTTACTCGAAAGTACTAATCAGAACACCAAAGATATGTGGGAGAAGATATTGTTTTAAAATTGGCAAGAATTTTTTTTAATATAAGAACAAAACTAAAAAATGGTATCTCTTCAAACTCTCAACGTTTCCTAGAACTTATTCCAAATCACACAGCAGCTACCTTTAATGCCATCAAGAAAAACTACCATAAAAATCTTCAGCAGTTAATACATTACAAGAGTTCACAATTAATTCCATTCATTATATATAATTAATATTTTTAATGAAAATATTTTTAAAAACAACATGATTGAACTATCAAATCATATTACATGCTACTGTCTTCCTACAGAGTTCTTGTTTAATTGTAAGTTTTCTAGCCAGGTGTAGTCTCAATATATAGTCTTAAAGAGGCCATAAAGAGGAATTTACATGATTCCATCTCCATCTTTTTTACTGCGACTTACCAAATACCCCCAAACTGCCTAAAATCAAACACATCTCTCCAAAATTCACTGTGAATTTTCTTCTCCCATCCAGTCTCCACTGGATTCATCCCCACTACTTTCATGTCAAAGAGAATATTTTTGTCATAGGTCCTTCAAGGTTTCAGTTTGTCATGGACTCTAGTTCTTTCTAAAGCAGGAACAGAGACTGTATCTTCATATTTCCATTAGAAAGCTTAGTTCTATTCACAACAACAACAACAAAAAAAGGAGAGAAAAACACCTGGGATGAAAGTCACCTTGAAAAGAGAAACAATTACTTCTCCTACAATCCATGAAATCAAAGCCATGCTACTTTCACATAATATGCCATCCAGCAAAACCGAAATACCAAACTGGACATTTAGTCTCACATTTATACTAGGCACTATTACAGAGACCAATACACTTGACAACTTCAGAACAACTTGCAAGACAGAGGCACAGAAAGTATACCTAGGTAAACATCACACACATTCCCCTGCAGCATGGAAAAGTGGGTCCTACAGATACAAATGATTTAAAATAAGAACTGATGTCTTAGAGTTGAGCAATTATAATAGCAATACAGTGAAGTCAGGAGTGCCAAAGCAAATTGTTTGATTTTATCTGTATTAATCACTATGAATAACAGCTGCACTGGACTAGTAAGGATGTCCGAGTTATGAACATCAGATGTCTTAAAACTAAATATACATGTGTACAAGGTTCCTAAAAATTATTATACATGTGTGTTTGTTTTACCAGTTTAGTAGAGGGTGACTTTATGACAATAAAGGAAAAGTTAACAAGCGTATGAAAAAAATCAACCCTGGGGATACAGCTGTTAAAGAATGGGTAAAACCAAGTTTATATTTGAAACTTGCACATTCGCTAAACAAAAAAGAACAAGTCAGAAGTTACATGGAAGAAATTGTACTTTTACTCAGTCACATTTCCTTTCTAGGAAAAACTGATTCTGAAACTATCAGTGAAAAGTATGCATCGTTTACTCACTAGCTAAGAACATGCATCAGAAAGTTCGGACTAGAGAACACTCCACAAACACACTGAACCTGGATTCAACCCAACAAGCACTTAAACAAGCAGGGCATATGAGACATTTCCAAAGACTGGAAAGGAACTTTGTTGCAAGGAGTGACTCATGAAATCAGTATTAAGCTTTCACTATACTAATAAATTTAGCTTGAAATTTCACATGGCTTAGCTAATGCAAAGCACAAGAACAAACAAACAAACAAACAAAAAAAACCAGAGGGAAACAAGCCATAAAAACAGAATTAAACTGCTCTGCATTTAAAGTCTCTAAAAATACTGCATATATTTCTCATGCACTTTTTTTTCTTGCCCAGGCAGAATGTTCTACAGAAAACATGGCAAGAACTGTGTCCTAGATAAAAGTAATTTCTTCACCATTAGAATAGTGAGCTCTCTCACCATGTAAAAATAACACTGAATTAAAAGTCAGTAATTGGTAGCATCACTGAACTCACAACATGATCACAAAGCAAATTCTCTTGCATAAACTAAATGAGCAAGCAGTAGCTACCTGACAAGCATATGAAACTATGCCACAATGATGAAATCCCTCAAACATTACATATTTTATTCAAGCATACCCTAAAAAGCATTAGGGCATCTACTTCTACACTTCAAAATAATAATGCATGCTACATATACAGGCAGGAGTGAAGCATTTGAGTGAATTCAAAAATATACAGAAACATCATCCATAGCTATGCATGGCATACACTGTTACTATTAGTTCATTGCTTATCAAGAAGAAAACACTTATCTGCAATTATCAGCTGAATTTTCCTTCATCTCCCAGTGAAAACATTTTGTAACAGGTTAGAACAAACTGGACACTACAACTTATCTCACCATTTCGTTCAAGCAAGTGAGGGTCAGAATGTTTCTTGCCTATATCTGCGAAAGACCGAACCAAAGGAATCCGATTGCTGAATTTTTTCTCATTCTGGTGATGGTGCCTTTTCAGAAGTGCCACTCTCACATTCTCCCTTATGGATTCATCCAGTTGGCCAGAAGCAATCATGTTGTCCAAGACCATATCTACAGAAGAGCAAAAACAGAAAAATGAAATGTTTATATACGTAGCTATCCTTCCACACACCCAAACACTGTAATTGCAACAAATCATATGAAAAAAAAAATGAATTATATGATAAACAGAAGTGCCTTTTCAACATCAATGCCATCTTCAAGAATCCACGGGAAATTTTCAAAGATGTCATTAAACAAGTAAATAAGTAAAACAGAGAATGTAGATCATAAAATACTAGTAGTATCATTTTAAGAAATAAGCTACTTAATGTTTTATGGTTTGTTTCAATTGCAACTTCCTTTCAAAAAAGAAACACCTGTGTATTCAACTAAAAGTGAATACACAACAGACATCTTAAAGCCTTAACCTAGTGTTCCCTATTTTGAAAGTATACAACTACACTAGAAGGATAGTTGTAAGATAATGGAACGAATTCCATAACTTCTGTTACTTTCAGATGACTCGAGCTCCTGAGGCTTGTGATGCACACATTTTAAAAAAAGGAAATGTAAAATGAAAGCTAGTTTTATCAGCTAAAACTGATGCATCAACTGGCAAACTATCAAGTTTCAAAGGTGCATCTCATCAGTATGCTCACACAGATGAAAGTCTGCTGTGATTATGTAGTTATTTTTACTCAGAAACACACACACCTGTAAAACCAAAATTGCCCTATGTGACACATAACTTTTCAACGTATTTTTCTATTCTTAACTAGCGCATCAATGAACTACAATGATAAGCCGTAATCGCATAGCACTTTTCACAGTGAAAAAAGTTATGGCTCAAAATGCTTTACAAGCAAAATTATATGCCATAAAGTCCTTGCCAGTACAGTACAACCTCCTTTGGGAATCACTGGTAACACACAGTCTTATGCTATGGCTTCTGCCTGTTTAAGGGAAAACCGAACACCTATTCAGGGAACTGAGATATACATTTATAGCCTTGTGTAGGATAATAATTCTTGGCAGAGTATACTTTCATAATGCCACCAACAATTAACTTCAAACAAATTTATGCAATCTCTTCATATGTAAGAGACCCACCTAAAATATTTGCTATTAAAAAACTGTTTTACTTTTTTTTTTATTTTTTTTTTTTTTTATTTCTTTTTTTTTTTTTTTACTTCTTTTTTTTTTTACTTCTTTTACTTTTTGCACTGTTTACACAGAATTAAGCAGTAACTATGTTTCTTATAAACTTATATTACTTCTGTAATTAATGTAATAAAACTCAATCAAATGATCGATTGCCTTTATAAACCACGTACACTTTTCCTTAGCAAGTCAGGAAAATAGGAAAGGAATGCCAATTTCCTACGAAAAATTTGAAGACTTAAAAGAAAAAATTCTGGCTATGCCAACTTTTTTATGCCAAAACACCTCGTCCTTCTCAAGCGTGTTGGGTGGCCCTAAGCCTAGCATGATTGCTGAGCAGGCATTCCACTGTGTGGCACCTGTAGCAAGAGATACCACGAAAATTAGGTGAAACTAGCTCAAAGGCATTCAGGCTAAACAAGTACAACTCTGATTTTAAAAAAAAGCTTTCCAAGATGATTCTACAGTACCCAAAGTGACCATGTGATTAGTGATGCCATTCAACACAGTAGGTTAAATGTGTAATTTACTTCTGCTCACCTCTTACAAAGGTGAAAAAAATAATAGATGTGCAACACTCAAATGCACTAATGGCATCCAGTTAACATCAGCCAAGTTATGATTAATAATTATGGTACTAAAGAACACAAATAAGTCCTAAAATGCTCTGAAAGATATTTATACTTCATCTGTAGAAGTAAAGACAAAGAACACATTCAGAAATCAGAACAAAGGTAGATTCTAGACTTCATCCTAAAAACATGCAAATAAAGGAGGTGCTACTCAACCAGCAGAGCTCCTTTTAAGTGAGCAACCAGCTCTTTATAATCAGATGAAGAAAACTGCAGATGTACATAACTATTTCTTCAATACCTTATTTTCAAGAATATTTTAAAAGTATATTTCAAGTAGAGATTAAAATTTAGAAATAAAGTATTCCAAAAAAAGTTTTGCTGCAACCTGCTATCTCATCTAGCGTGTTTGCTCTCATGTCCAACATGACTGTCCCGTTAAGAATACAGCTTCGCAGTTCAAAGAGACTGTGCAGAGACAGAGTTGCTACATAAGGCTTGCTCCACCGATCACCACCATCTTCAACATCCTCTTCAAATTTTAGCCACCTGAAATGAATACACATACAAATATTTATTTTTGTCCCGGAAAACAGACAACTTGGCAAGCCCTTCCCTCTGTGGCTCTAAGCAATGCTGAAGAGGGAGATACATCAGTACATGCTGACTTCCCTTTCTCAGAAAGCTGAGCAGATTAACAGTTAGAACACTTATCTAGCTCTTTGCCCAGGCTGAGCTCTTTTAGTTCTAGTCCATTTTGTTTCATCAGGTTTAAACAATACCTATCTCCACAAATTCATAAGAACAGTGTAGGACTATGTCACTTGATTTGCATGTCTTAGTTTCATCTGTATTTTAGGATTAAAAAACTGTCTGAAATGCATTGCATATAATGTTGATTCTAGGATGCCAAATCAGACATTCAAGAGTTAAGTAACATTAGGGTTTAACTATTAATTGGCTTTTATTCTAATTCACAGGTATAACAGAAGCTGAACTTCTGCAAAAGTCAGAATGCAATAAGGTAATCGGAAGCACTGCATCTGGAAGAGCGCATATTACAACACATGTAGAAGGAAAAAAATTAACTGTGGCCTCCTACAAAGAACAAACACACAATCTTTCAGAACAAACAAAAAATTAAAAGACCTTCCAAAGAACAACATATGTAAATACCCAATATCATTTAGATTTGAGTAAAAAAAGACACTATTTATTATCAACAATAATAGAGTAAATTTCTCTGAGACAGTAAATTCTGCACTACATGGTTAAGCACGTGTATTAAAGGAATATTGTAGCTTTCACAAAGCTACAACTTGCAGCAGTGAAATTCAGGGTCTTTTAAGAAGCCATATTAATTTCTCCAGAATTTGACAACGATAGTAGAAGTTTCAGTTTTCTGAGCCTGAACTGAAAAACTCCTACAGTTCAAGAAAATTCCAACACAGATCTAGTTTGCAGTTCTTTCAAATAAAATCACTACAAGATACACCTTGAAACAATCTACCTTTAGCTTACCTTGCAGTTTCTTTCCACTCATACTCTTCTCCATCCCTGAAGCAAAGTTCATCCATTTCAGTGAAGAGATCATGAGGAATGTGTTCATCATCATCTTCAGTACCCAGGATAAATTGCACTCGTTGGGATGGTGTGTCTTGAAGAAAAGGAGAAACTCAACAACTAAAATAACTTATATTTCTATTATAGAAGAAATAAAATGTAACAGTTACATTTTCCAGTCCCAGTAAGAAGCATGCAGCACAAAATTATCTTCAAGAGTATTTTTTAGATTCAGATGAAAGATCTGAATTACTAATAAACTCAGAACTAAATTCTGCTTTTGCAATGTTGTCATCATCCAATAAACTTTTTCTGAAAAAAGCTCTTGAAAACAGTATTTATTATCTACAAAGATCTACAGTAGATTGTTTCTGTCCCAAATCCAATATATTCAAAGAAATCCATAAAAAGTAAATCTCAGGAGGCAGTACAACTCCTTACTATCAGACAACTGGAAAACTCTAATAAGTATTTTAAGATTATGGATCAAGTTACCATGAAAATGCTGCTTTGTAGCTCTACCCATATTTTTTAAAGTATTGAGTGTCAGAAAATACAAGATCACAAAATGAGAAATTGAGTTTAATGCAGATAGCCAATATTTTTATGCTAAAACAGTATTATAAACTCAGTCCAATTCAGTGCAGGCTGCTGAACACTCATTTACACACCTGAAGCCCAACACTTCATGACTATATAAAACAACAAAATGTTTGCCTGATTGAAGATAAAAACACAATTACAGTAAGAATAGAAGAAACAGCACAAGCGCTTGAGCACAAAGTAACTATTATAAGCTTATTTTCAAGAGACACAAAGAACTCCAGACAAATTTCTTACCATATGATGGAGATTCTCTGCCATCTTGTGTATCAGTTTCTTTTTCTTTTTTTCTTCTGTGATGTCTATGCCCACGATGTCTATGCCGTCGACGACCTTGCTTTCCAAACGGGACATGAACGCCAATATACACAGCTCTGTGGCCTGTCAAAAAAGTTCAAAGGAAAACAATTACACACATACACACACATGCGTGCACGCAAAAAGACCCTCCTGCCCAATATTTAGCATCACTGTCAGAAAGACAGTACGGATAGGCTGCAATTGAACTTGATGATCTTTAAGGTCCTTTCCAACCCAAGTGATTCTATGATTCTGTAAGACATGGAATTTGACAAAGTCAAAAAGAAATCCAAAAGCACTTGGCAAAATGACGTTTACTGAATTACTGTTGCCTTTTGTCTTCTATCCTTACCCAGTGTCAAGGAACTAGTGTCATACTCGTTTCCCAGGTAAACTGAGTAAGAATAAACTGTGGCTCAATTCAAGAACTCTGCTGTGAAACATGTAATGCTTATCAGTTGCCTGATAAACACCAGGAAACCAGAAGCACAGTAGAAAAAATTTTAAGATATACCTTTTGTTTACTGAAAATCATCATACAAGCTTCATTAAGAAATTACCCATAGCTTATAAGTCAGAAGTAGTTTTCTACAG